AAAATTAAACACAAAATGTGATTGAACCCATAAGAGTATTTATTTCCCATGCCTCAGCCTGGAAACCTCATTTTCAAAGGTAGAAGGGACCATATTTTAAGTTAACAAAATTATAGGACACTCAAAATTAAAACGAACCATAGAATTTGGTTTTAAATATGTTTATTAGCTTTCCCAAGGCTCCAACTCTCTCTTCTGATTTTACATCCATCTTTGAAAATTGGTAAAATTTGACTGGAGCCATATGAAAGTTGCAATTCATACTCTAATGCTGCTTTCCCATGTTCTATGGTCTAATTTTACCGAGCAAAATTTGCATTGTTTACCTATTTTACGATGGCCAACATTCCCGCAGGTGTGTGAAGTCTTGGCCTGCTTGCTTAGCAAATCTATAAATACTACGCTCAAATCTCCACACATTTGTTTGGCAAAGCAGGTGATTACATTCTGTCTGGAAAGTATGTGTTGCAACTTGAGATATACTGAATCGAGGTTGCACTGTTTGTGTGTGAATGTATGTCGTACTTAACATGTGCAACCACACTACATGGCCTAGTAAGCAAGGTCAGTTGTGCCTAACAAGCAGAACAATTTTCTGTATTTTAAAATATTTCTTTCCAAATTTGGTCTTTCTTTCCAATATTAATATTTTGAGAACATAAATTACTAACTTAATTAGGTTAGGTCAAGTTTCTAAGTTACTTTTCACATAAAAACAAAACCAGTTCATGTATATTATAATTAAAATCTTTGTTCCACAAGAGGAAAGTGACAGTATTTACGAGAATTCAGCTTGTTAGGCAGCCCTGATGTAAATTACATACATTTATATACATACACACACACTAATTGTTTTTTTTCACGATTTACACACACACTTGTATGCATGTACTGTATTACATAGAGGACTTCATAGAATTAAAATAAAATAAGTATAAGTGAGGATATATAGTTGCTTACACAGCTTCTGTTCAGTTCAAGTTTGATTTTTATATGTAGAGATGAGATGCCATGCATGATGTCTTGCTTCCTATCAAGATTTTATTGTTTAATATTTTAATATGTTTAAAAGCTGGTAATGTTTTATTGTCATTTTCTGGCTTGGCAGTGATGTATCATTAAGCACAAAAGAAACAAGTCTGCAGCATTTCAATGTTATATAGGTTGATGTTGTTCCACTGTGACTACAGTTTGCACTGTACTGTATATCACTAGTGATGGAAGCTCTCTAAGCATAATTATGGTTGTATACAGTGTTTCTTTATACGTTATTTAGTGCGGATTTTTGGTCTTCACCATGATATTCTCAGAGTTGGTTGTCCCTTGCTACAGTAACTACTACACTCGGCTCAACTTTTAAACAATTCTTAAATGACTTGAGCTAGATTTTCATGTCTTTGAAAATCTTGTCCAATAATTATATAAAGAAACATTACTTTGTATACTCGTGTGACATGAGCAATACATTTTACTTGATGCATGAAAAATTGTGGCAGTTATATTTAATAATTTTTTTTTTTTATTGAGGGGAGAAGGGTAATAATTGTAATACTAGACACAAATACGGTAATTGTTGAGAGAGTTGCGAAAGCGTTTTGAATGTGTGCTGAAATATTTTAAAAGTCTGTACTCGTGCAGCTCACACAGTGTCTTGAATAGCCTATACAGTATAACAAGGACTTTTATATTTGACCCTGAATTATGCCTTAAGAGGTCATTCCATATTATGGTTGTCTGAATAAATCATACTGGTGAAATATTTTTATCATATCCTTTCTATTGCAGAAGCAGTGTTTTAATGTTAAATTATCAAGAAAGTTGAGCCTCGGAATATTTTTTGGTAAAAATAATGGTTTCAAATAAATGAAGTAAAAATCGCTCGAGTTGCAGAGTGGGGGTTTATGGTGCCTACAGGGAAGGTAGTTCCCCTTCCCTCTCCCCCTCCATGGTGTCACCTTGTCGTGGTGAGGGGGCTCGCGTACCTCTCCCTGGGACTGGTGAGGGTTGCCTTCGCCCCCTCTCCTGCCTCTTTGAGTGTTGTACAAGCGAAAGGGCCCCAACATAGGAGCCTTGTGAGTCAACGGACCACCTGCTGGAGAAGGCTGCCCTAAGTGGATGATTGGGTGTCCAGGCTGGGGTGAAAGGGAGAATAGTCTTTGCACCAGTGTGGGAGAATGGACGAGGCAGTAGGACTTCCTGATAAAAAGGATGAACAACACTGGGGATGACACGCCTCTTCCTGCACTGGCCAGCGCTTGGCCTCCCTGGCTGCCCTGGTAGGTGGTATTCCTTGGCTCATGCCCCAGACTTTTAGAATTGATGCTGTATGGAAACTGAACCGACGTCTCTTGCCCAGGCTTGTGGGGTGGGCGAACAGGCCCCCAAGTCGGACTGTGGTGGCATGTATTATGCTCGTGTGTTGCATTCCACCTCTCCTCACCCTCCCCTCCTTTCTCAGTCTCGCAACCGTTCTAACCCAGTCTTCCCTGTCTCCTGTATCCTCTTTCCTTTCCCCCCCTCCCTCCAAATCCTTCTACCCAGCCCTTCCCTCTTGTCTTTTGGTCCTCCATGCCGCTGTCCATCATCCTCCCAGCAATCTTCATGTTGATCGCTCCCCTTTCTCTTTCTCCTCCTGTTGAGACTCTGGAGGCTGTTGTGCAGTACATTGTTGCTGGCACACCTGTCTCTTTAAGTCAGAAACATAAGCCTGGCTCCTCTCCTTTCTAACTGGCAGGTAAGAAGGCATTCCTTTCTTCCCAGCCTTCTGAACTGGACTCTATCTGCATCCTCCCAGCAATTTTGGTGGTCAAGCATCCTCCCCCCCCCCAATTTGGTGGTCGAGCCCCCTGTCCCAGCTATGGAGGTTCCCTTGGTCTTCGATTCTCGGGTGCTGCCCTTGATGAGGTGCACTACCCTGTTTGTCCCCCTCCCCCTTTCCCTTAATTCCCTTGATTGTCCCTCTCCAATGCCTCCTCACATTCCGGACTCTGTCCGTTTGCCTCTGGTCCGTCCTCCCACTCCCTTAACTCCATCATCCTTGCTAGATTTACCTATACCCACTAACCCCGATTAGGGGACATAATCCGTGTGAGGTCAGTTGAACTCCTGGTTGCAATTCTTTTACCATGTCATGGCACAATTAAGGCATGTCTGGGATCCTCTCGGGCGTAGGTTCGAACCCTCATCTCGGCCCTTGTGGATTTGTACATTCTGTACACATTTATCCACCTGTTTATATCATGTACTGTGTCACTATTTGAAGTCTTTGGCACCACATTAGCACTTGGGTTACTCTTTTTATTTTGAGATTTAGGACTTAGGTCAGGTATTGGAACCAGGTAGACTATTCAGTGCCATTTTTTCTCTTGAACACTGTCTGCCATTTGCTTTATTACCAGATACCCAATTATTGCTAGGTGGACAGGAGTGAACGATGAAGGAAAGGTGGCCAATCGTCACACCCCGTCCGGGGTTGGTCTCAACTTGTGAGGCGAGCAGGCAAGGCTGTTAATCACTGCACCACAGGGATGCAGCACCATGGTTAGTTGATATATAAAATATTTATAAACCCAATGATATAAAGGGAATAATTTTCAACACCTAAACATGCACGATGCCAGTGGCATGTCATGTCTTTAATGATAGCCGCAGAACTAGGTTCTCGTGTCTGAGGTGATGATCATCTGACAGTCAAATCTGGACACTTAATTTTTCTGACTTTTTTTTTAGAACTGTTAATTGAAGTAAAGTACATTCAAAACCAGGCAAATGATTTCATGCATTAAAAAAGGTGAATACAGTACAAAAGTTGTCCAGTGTTAGGTAACTGGCTTTTATATCTAATTCAGCTCTTGCTAACATCCAGAACTGAAGTAATTTTATATTTCATCAGAGGATAACTCAGTAAGAAAAAAAAGTTTTGAAAAATTTAATAAAAAAAATTACAAAAAGCTTCAAGGCTTGATATAAATATGATATTTACATTAAGTATATTTCCTCGGACAGCAAAGCAAGATCAGATCTATTTAGACTACAAATGAAAATGAAAGCTAATGATGAAGCTTAATGTGGGCAGTATGTAAGGAAAGTTAAATACAGTGCATAATTCTACATGGACATTTGTTATTTTCACATCTTGCAAAAAGTACCTCATTTCAAATATAGAATGCTATTCGGGAACCAATATGAGGACATAATTTACATATTTACTTCACATAGAGTAATTTGAATGTCTACTACAGTGCTCCTTAAAATAATGACTATATGCATTTGTCTTTCACAGTATAAGTGTTCTTTATTCTAGTTTTAGATGGGACCTGCTTATAAAAATATATACAGTATATTCCTAAGAATGAGGCAACTAATTTGGTAAATACTGTCATGTGATATTTAAGAGTGACAGTAACTCAAACAAGCCCAACCTTGGGACAGTATGAAGCTTGGTCCCACAAGATAGTCCTCACACCATTACTTTCACATAAATGGCCTAAGACAGGGATACAAGCCACATATTTGCAGATGACACCAAGATAAGGATGAAAGTTGCAACATTAGAAAAACCATAAAACAGCAGTCGGATATCAGCAAGGTCTTCCATTGGGCAACAAGAAAAAAATACTCTATAACATTAAGCTGAGATAAGAGTTCAGTTACTTTGATTAGGACAAAAATAAAAACTTTAAAAGAAGCAAGATACAAATCTTCATACAGCTCTCCTTAGAAACGAGCAACCAAATCAAAGATCTTTGAATAATAATATTAGAAAATTTAATATTTAAAATACAAAAAAAGTAAACATCTAGAAAAATGAGTGGATAATGAAAACATTCAAAACAAGGGATGCCAGACTAATGATGGTATTCTACATTTTTTAAAGCACTAGTGCAATCTTAAATGGAATGTTGCTCGGTCATCACATCCCCTTTCAAAGCAGGTGAGATAGCAGCTTGAAAATATTCAGAGATCCTTTACTGTCTCCAAATGTGGTAAAACTATTGAACAAATTAGACCACCTGAAAGCACTCATATTGTACTCCAAGGAAAGAAGACAAGAGAGATATCTTTATAATCTGCACATGGAAAATCTGGGTTATCAGATCCCAAAATTGCTCATTAAAATTACAACATGCAGAAGTGAGAGATATAGTAGGAAGAATAAAATAAATTCAGAGAAAAGTCGGGGCACCATAAGCACAAAAAGAAAACACACTGTAAACATCAGAGATCCACAACTTTTCAACATTCCAGTTAACAAATACAAGAGATATCGGTGGAACAACAGTATTATAGCAGCTTTCAAGACAGAACTTGACAAGTTTTTGCTGAAGTTACCAGATCAGCTTGGCTGTGATGGTTACATGGTCCCATGGTTACATGGTCACACAAAGACAAACAACCTTGTATATGAATGCAATCACCAAGGAAGGCTGGCCCCAAGCCAGGACTGTGACAGAACTATTGAAATCATACACAGGTAATATCATTGCACAGAACTAGATAGTTACATCTCAGTTGTACAGTTCAGAAGCATAGTATCTGTATTACTTTATATTATTCAAACAAACTTAGGCTGACAAGAAAGTGCTAAATAACTATTTCATATACAATATTGCTAATAATACATAAATTAATATCCAAGGCTAGACTTCAAAAGTTACAAATGTAAATACAGTATACCAAGATTATCAACTATAAAACATTTTGAGTTTGCATAAGCAGCATTGTATGCAATGAATAATCCTAGAGTCCCCCATGGCGTAGTGGTAAGACACTCGCCTGGCGTTTCGCGAACGCTTTGTCCTGGGTTTGTATCCTGGCCAGGGAGGATTCACTGGGCATCAATCCTTAACTGTAGCCTCTGTTTAACCCAACAGTAAAATGGGTACCTGGTTGTTAAACGATTTGGTGCGGTCGTATTTCAGGGAACATAGGATTAAGGACTTGCCCAAAATGCTATACGTGCTAGTGGCTGTACAAGAATGTAAGAACTCTTGTATATATAAATATATAAATATATAAATGTAATGCCTCTTAGTAAAGTAATCCCACGTTTAAAGTAATAAGTGAGCTAAGTCCGCAATAATAGTACAGTAGTGTCAAGATGAATGCTGCAAGTGATATCTGCAACGTTAGTACTGTGTTAACTATCGAACCGTTTTATGGCAAATAATGTGATGGCAGTTGAGTTATTCCGCATAAATATGAAAAGATGCTTTGATCATAAATACAGTACAGTATTACAAATCCCTATTACATCATTAAATGCTAAATATTTTTGTAAATATATTTTTGCATATCTCATACAGTACTTGAAAATTCTTTTCAAAGTACTGCATCTTCAATATTTACAATGCAGTACATTACAAAATATTTGCATATGAAAATACATAATAGTACTATACTGTTATAGTACTGTAGTATAATAGTAAATATATATAAATAGATATATATATATATTAGTAGTACTAATAAACGAAAATAGTACTACCTGCATATATACTGTACCATGAAATTAAATGCCATTCATTTAAGTCATAAATACAAAATTCTTTAACATTCAGAATACCGAAATGAGTATACATGGGACAGTACTACTTTTTGATAAATATCACTTTGTCATGGCATAACAGATGTTGCTTCCAATAAGCCAATTCAACTAAACTCAAAATCTCTACACTTTTTAATTTTCAACAACAGGTCCATTTTCACAAGTAAGATTCTAAGATGATAATCCTGAAGAGGAGAGATCAAGCACCGAGGTTGTAAATCCGCTAACAGGTCAGTGTGAGAATCTTGGGGGGGGGGGTTAAGACAATTGCCACTTGACGCTGCCATCATATGATGGTCGCACATGTTAAAAAAAAAAGGCCATTGGTGTAACTAATTGCTAATTTCCTCCAGTTAAATTCTAATATGATTTATAATTAAATTATAGTACACTATAATATGTGCTATATGGTTGGAATTGTCTTATTTATACCAGGTACATAGTGAAGGTAATTTCTGTAATAGAGTATAATGAACTATTAGAGACTGCAAGGTGTGAACTTATCCGCATTTAGGAAATGCTCATTAATATACATACTGTATAAAGAAAAAGATATTTGTCATTTGTTTTTTCTTCAAATATAAGATATATATATTGTAATGTTATGGGATATATGATAGCTGTAAGACGTTTCAAGAACTGGGAGAAACACGAGGCTGAGGGGTACACTACAATTTATGAGATCAGTAAATTTGTGAATTTAAGTAATTATTAGTTTCTCTTCTGCTTATTTCTACTTTCTATGACAAAGACAACAAAAATTTGTGCATCTGACTGAAAATGTGAAAATGATGATATATTTGTACTAATTAATATAATGTGGACTTGATTCTGTTATAACTGTAGCAGTCTTTTAAGTCTACACTGTGTATGTGTGCATCCAGTTACGTGAAGGAACATTCTGAGAAAAGTATCTATCTGAGAAAACATCACAGTTGCAGAACAACCCCTTGATGTGATGCTGGACTGATAGGTTGTGGTGCAGCAAAGAGATCACAACCCTGATACACGAACCGTATCAATTGTCGACGCAATTCAGGGTCAGTAATAAATGCCTCTGTTACATTATTTTCCTCCAGGTCACCATCAGCTTCGTATTCACTGTTAGTCTCACTGTCACTAAATTCTTCTATGTTAATATATTCACAATCATCTTCATCCATTGCATCATCTAAAACTATGATTTCATCTTCACTATTATCCTCAACTAATGTTACCTCAAAACCTGCATTAAATGTCCTATTAACCCTGAGGGCACTAGCATTGTTAGTTGATGACACTTCTGATTCATTTGTTGGGGCAGTATGTGCATCCATAATAGCACTAGCCAGCTGCTGCGAGAGTTTAGTGAGCTCTACATGAGCATGGTCTCGGGTGAGGTGTGCTGCCAGACCCGTTACCACTGGATGGTCTTCAGGTAGATGTTCCTCCTCAAGTAAAAATCTGCACAAAATCATATTAGTGACTATTTGACCTGCATTACAAGAGGGTAAAGCAATTATCAGGAGAAAGCATTAAGCCATTATGACTTTATAGCATTTGAAAGTACAGTAATTTATAAGGATAAGGATTTGGGATAGCACTGAGGAAAGAAATGGTGTCAAACCACTTGGATGGGCGGGGATTGAACGCCGACCTGCAAGAAGCGAGACCGTCACTCAACTGTCCAGTCCAAGTGGTTGGACGTGAATTATAGGAAGTGCATATGCATTTCCTTTGTACTGTGCTATATTGTACAAGATGAAAATTTCATCATCATAATACAGTATTCTGTAATCATGTAACTTTTTTTAGAGAAAAACAAAACAGGAAAGTCTTATTAAGATTACTTTAGGTACAGTACAACAGAGTTCATTTTACTGTCTGAATCTTTCATAATTATTAACTTGTATAATGAGAGCACTACATATGAGTTAGTATGAAATAAATTACAAAATTAATTGAATATGGTTAACTTTATTAATGCTCAAAGTAATAACATTCTTGTTTGTATTTTTCAGCTAATACTGTACTGGTAAAATATTAGTGCACTGTATGACCAAAATTTAGTTTATATATATATATATGCAGTGGTACACAAATCTTCAATAATAACAGTACAGTACAGTACTGTACTGTACTTGAAAATAATTAAGAGCAAAAAAAGTTATTTAACAAACCTTAGAGTTTCCTTCAAACAATCCTGGTATCCAGCAACAACATCTGGATCAACTATTTCTACCTCTTCACTAGGGCTTGGAGAATTGGCTGGCACCCGAGCAGATTCCTGGACGGGATCTGTCCCTGCCTCAGGCGTTGATGCATCAACCCCTTGACTAGATTCATTTTTGCGTGGTGATACTGGCACCGGCATCTAGAATGAATGTACAGTATTGTCACATGCTCTTTTGTGTGGATTTTTGATGATAAATTTTGCACATGATAAAATAGTTATCTACATACATAAAACATTTTTAATTTGTAGTACTCATATACAGTGCATATATGCTTGAATGTACTCACCTAGTTGAGCTTGCGGAGGTTGAGCTCTGGCTCTTTGGTCCCACCTGTCAACTGTCAATCAACCAATGTACAGGTTCCTGAGCCTATTGGGCTCTATCATATCTACATTTGAAACTGTGTATGGAGTCTGCCTCTACCACATCACTTCCTAATGCATTCCATTTGTCAACTACTCTGACACTAAAAAAAGTTCTTTCTAATATCTGTGTGGCTCATTTGGGTACTCAATTTCCACCTGTGCCCCCTAGTGCATGTGCCCCTTGTGCTAAATAGCCTGTCTTTATCTACCCTATCAATTCCTTTGAGAATCTTGTATGTGGTATCATGTCACCCCCTAATTCTTCTGTCTTCCAGCGACGTAGGTTTAATTCCCGTGGTCTCTCTTCGTAGCATGAGGCCCTCATAATAACCTCATTCATCATAATAGGCCTCATTCATGTGTCCCCCTCATAATATGCCTCGCTCATGTGTGTGTGTGTACTCACCTAATTGTGCTTGCGGAGGTTAAGCTTGGGCTCTTTGGTCCCCACTTCTCAACTGTCAGTCAACTAGTGTAGAGGTTCCTGAGCCTATTGGGCTCTATCATATCTACATTTGAAACTGTGCACGGAGTCTGCCTCCACCACATTAGTACTTCGTAATGCATTCCATTTATTAACTACTTTGACACTGAAAAAGTTCTTTCTAATATTTCTGTGGCTCATTTGGGTACTAAGTTTCCACCTGTGTCCCCTTGTGGGAGACCCACCAGTGTTAAATACTCTGTCTTTATCTACCGTGTGTGTGTGTGTGTGTTTGTGTCCTCATTGTGTGTGTGTGTGTGTAATTAATTACCTAAGTGTAATTACACCTACCCCATGATGGCTCACTTGTCCTTTTAATAACCTCTCATCCTCATAATAACCCTCACTCATGCCTTCTAAACATCCCTCACTCGTCCTCATAATAAGCATCGCTGATGCCTAACTCGCCCTCATAATAACCTCATTCGTCTTCATAATAGACCTCATTTATGTCCCTCATATGCCTCGCTCATCCTCATAATAGGCCTCACGACCTCATAATAGTAATTGTTTATTTGAACAGGCCTCACTGATTGATGATTGATGAAGATTAAGCCACCCAAGAGATGGCACGGGCATGAATAGGTCGTAAGCCTCACTGATGCTCTAGATACACATTTCACTCACGGTCTCCTACTTCCTGGGCACACCTCATACATTTATATTGATTCTCCTAACTTTCCTTCGGTTCTAGCCAAACCTCAATAATGACTTCTCCAACCACACCTTCCTTCTCCCTGACCATACCTCACTTCGCTCTGACCACACCTCATTGCCTTCCCTGACCACGCCTCATTGTCTTCCCTGACCATGCCTCATTGTCCTCCCTGACCATGCCTCATTGTCCCCTCCCTGACCACGCCTCATTGTCTTCCCTGACTATGGCTCATTGTCCTCCCTGACCATGCCTCATTGTCCTCCCTGACCATGCCTCATTGTCCTCCCTGACCACGCCTCATTGTCCCCTCCCTGACCACGCCTCATTGTCTTCCCTGACCATGGCTCATTGTCCTCCCTGACCATGCCTCATTGTCCTCCCTGACCATGCCTCATTGTCCTCCCTGACCACGCCTCATTGTCCTCCCTGACCACGCCTCATTGTCTTCCTTGACCATGCATCATTGTCCTCCCTGACCACGCCTCATTGTCCTCCCTGACCACGCCTCATTGTCTTCCCTGACCACGCCTCGCTGCCCTCCCTGACCACACCTCGCTGCCCTCCCTGACCACGCCTCGCTGCCCTCCCTGACCACGCCTCGCTGCCCTCCCTGACCACACCTCGCTGCCCTCCTTAACCACGCCTCGCTGACCTCCCTGACCACGCCTCGCTGCCCTCCCTGACCACGCCTCGCTGCCCTCCCTGACCACGCCTCGCTGCCCTCCCTGACCACGCCACCGGTCGGCTGAGCGGACAGCACGCTGGACACGTGATCCTGTGGTCCCGGGTTCGATCCCGGGTGCCGGCGAGAAACAATGGGCAGTTTCTTTCACCCTATCCCCCTGTTACCTAGCAGTAAATAGGTACCTGGGTGTTAGTCAGCTGTCACGGGCTGCTTCCTGGGGGTGGAGGCCTGGTCGAGGACCGGGCCGCGGGGACACTAAAGCCCCGAAATCATCTCAAGATAACCACGCTCATATCATAACTAAAAACTCACGCATGCCATCCCTGATATCCCAGATATCCATACCACATCCTACCTGATACCACCACCACCACCACCACCACGCCTGCCTGGGAATCCGAACCACGCCCTCATCCACAGCCCACCCAGCGTCTCTAGTTTCCTTTGTACAGCTGAAATGAAGTCCTCCTAAGAACTTGATAGGATGCCCTACCCCGGTGTCTGCTGCGAGCGCGCTGGGGGCGGTAACCCGACCCTATACGCATATGTTCTTTGCATTATTTTCTTTTTCAAGTACTGTACCGAAGGTTTATGTTGGATTTTTCATAAAGATTCGTGTCGAATTTTCTCTGGGAATCTGTTTTTGATGTTGATAACATAAGCCAAACTTGCCTTAATTTTTTTCGGGTTTCTCGTATTAAAAGTATTCATTTTGATAGAAGCAAACTGGAAATTGATATTTCCGCAAGCTTTTGTGAAAACCATCTATTGGTATTCACAATATACAATGACCATAACTGAACGACATACATAAAAACATGAACAGACAACCAATTTCCATACGAGAGGGAAGAAATCCCCCCCCCCAAAAAAAAAAAAATAATGGCCCAAGTATTCTTCCGGGGCCAACTGGCCAGCACGTGGCACATCCGGTGTAAGGTGAGCCCGAGCTGACCACAGGTTCGTATCCCGTACGGAAGGTCGGGAGGAAGTGGGGGGGAGGGGGAGAGAGAGATAAGGGAGAGGTGGGGGGGGGGGGAGTAGCATGTAGCTGCCACCCACCTGCTGCCCACCACTACCACTCTAACCTTCGTTCTATAATAATGATGGGGTCTTTCGCCGGTTTCGACTCCATATGTGTCCAACGGAAACGTCATTTTCATTTTCCGTAACACCTATAGCAATTACTAAATTACTACCATAGATGGTAGTACAAAATATGGACGACATTGCCCCTAATAAATTCCACATGTTGCATTAATAATTTTGTAGATGGGGGCCCGAGAAAGAAAAAAAATGGCAAGAATGATATCTAACTTTTCCTTGGCCTAAATAATACATATATGTACTAAATTAGGTCTAATATTGTACATTTTAGGTCTAGGATTGCTTATTTAAGTCTAAGATCTAGGTTAGGCTAGTACTATACAGTAATTAGAATGTTACTTTTTGACTGTTACACCCAATAGTTTGAAAGGCAAATATTTGAGGAGTACAATAGTCTATAAATATTTGGTACATTTTGTCCATTATATATATATATATATATATATATATATATATATATATATATATATATATATATATATATATATATATAATATATATATATATATATATATATATATATATATATATATATATATATATATATATATATATATAATATATATATATGTTATTAACCCCAACCCTCACTCACTCATTTCTTACTCATTAATTCATTCTCTCTCGCCTCGCCCACACTCATTCACTCACCCTCACCCCACGTGAACGATCAGCTGTGAGGCGCAGCTGCTAGACACGCCAACCCCCCACCCCCCTCACCCCCATGTCCAACATCTGCTGACTGAACCCAGTTATCGACTTTTACCCCCCAGCTGCTGCTGCTGTGTGTGTGTGGAGGCCTGTGTTTCTCCACACACACACACACACATATCCGCTCAATGTCAGGTGACATTAGCTGCTGCTGTTACACGCTATGTGTGTGTGTGTGGATGTGTACATGTAATACCTAGTATTACTTGTTATTACCGCGCTATAGATTGTTTCTGTGTGTCTGTGTTGATATTGCACTGTCCAGATTGCACATAGATTTTTTGTTGTTGATCCTGGTAACACCGGATGCAATAGCCTGATCAACTACACATTTACATTTGAAATATATTTACGTGGTAACACGCTTAAGCTTCCCTGAGTTAATATTTTATTTTTTGTAACTTTGTGATTATTTGCTAAACTAATTGTTATGCACCTCAGCTCGGTGCCTTCTTTTGATAATTACTTATTGTTAAGTGAGAAGGAAATATTTATACTGAATATAAAAGCAATTTAGTGTCATTGGTAACATGTAGGTTAACGTGGATCATGGAATTACAAGCGGTACTATGGTATAAAATGCTGCTCTTTAAGAAGTTACAAACATTGCTTCTTTTAGTGGCTGTCATTATATTCTCTCCTATATAGTCGTTATGGCTTGGCGCTTTCTCTTGGATAGTTTCCTTCCTTCCTTCCTTCCCTTGCCTACCTTCATTTTTCTTCGCCCCCAGGTTTCCTTCACCCCTACCCCCCTCCCCCCCACACCTCACTCTTTTGGGGTTCCTCTACTCCCCTCCTTCCCCTTGGTTTCTTGAAATCTCCTCCTTCCTTGGTTTCTTTAACTCTCCCCCCCCCCCACCGCCCCCTTTGGCTTCCTGTACTCCCTTCCTCGGTTTCTTATACTCTCCTTCCTCCTTCGGTTTCCTGTGCTTTCCTCCCTCCTTTCGCTTTCTCTACTCCACATCCCTCCACTTTTTTTCTATTACTCTCCCTGGTTTTATTTGAGTCCCGTTCCCCCTTAGCTTTCTCCCCTGTTTCCTCTTCTCCCGTTCCGTGGTTTCCTACACTCGTGTACGCAAGCACACACCTACGCGTGCACACACGAACGCACACGTGCACACACATGCCGAAGAAATATAAGAAAATTCACTTTAGCAAACAGAGACATACACTCACACTGTTAGAGCCCAGTAGGCTCAGGAATCTGTACACCAGTTGATTGACAGTTGAGAGGCGGGACCAAAGAGCCAAAGGACCCCCGCAAGCACAATTAGGTGAGTACAGCTGAGTGTATGTTTTTATGGGGCCTCGCAGCTGAGTGGACAGCACTCTGGGGTTCGATCCCCGGCCGAGGCAGAAACAAATGGGCAGTTTCTTTCACCCTGATGACCCTGTTCACCTAGCAGTAAATAGGTACCTGGGAGTTAGGCAGCTGTTACGGTCTGCTTCCTGGGGATGTGCGTGAGTTAGAAAGAAATGTACTTGTGGACTTAATAAAGTAAAAATAATTGCTTAGAAAGGCGGGGTCCAAGAGCTAATAGCTCGATTCTGCAGACACAAATAGTAAATACACAAATAATAAATACACAAATGGTAAACGCACACACACAAATAGTCAGCTGTCACGGGCTGCTTCCTGGGGTGTGTGTGGTGTGTGAAAAAAAATAGTAAACAGTTGATTGACAGTTGAGAGGCGGGTCGAAAGAGCAAAGCTTAACCCCCGCAAACACAACTAGGTGAATAAATGTTAAGGTCAAGTAAACAATTATTACAATATTAACATAAAACACATCAATGATATCAATGAACAGGTGCATGTATGAACGGGTTACGTTTTAGGTGTGTGTGTGGATCAAACAGAGGCGCAATATAGGGAGGGTGTGTAGCTGGATGGGTGGCTTGGGGGAACCGTAGGTATGGTGGATGGGTGGCTTGGGGGAACCGTAGGTATGGTGGATGGGTGGCTTGGGGAGCCATGGGTATGGTGGATGGGTGGCTTGGGGAACCGTAGGTATGGTGGATGGGTGGCTTGGGGAGCCATGGGTATGGTGGATGGGTGGCTTGGGGAGTCATGGGTATGGTGGGTGGATGGCTTGGGGAGTCATGGGTATGGTGGATGGGTAGCTTGGGGAGCCATGGGTATGGTGGGTGGGTGACTTGGGGGAGTCATGGGTATGATGGATGGGTGGCTTGGGGAGCCATGGGTATGGTGGGTGGGTGGCTTGGGGGAGTCATGGGTATGGTGGGTGGATGGCTTGGGGAGTCATGGGTATGGTGGATGGGTAGCTTGGGGAGCCATGGGTATGGTGGGTGGGTGACTTGGGGGAGTCATGGGTATGATGGATGGGTGGCTTGGGGAGCCATGGGTATGGTGGATGGGTGGCTTGGGGAGTCATGGGTATGGTGGGTGGGTGACTTGGGGGAGTCATGGGTATGATGGATGGGTGGTTTGGGGGAGTCATGGGTATGGTGGATGGGTGGCTTGGGGAGTCATGGGTATGGTGGGTGGGTGACTTGAGGGAGTCATGGGTATGGTGGATCGGTGGCTTGGGGAGTCATGGGTATGGTGGATGGGTGGCTTGGGGGAGCCATGGGTATAGTGGGTGGCTTGGGGAGTCATGGGTATGGTGAGTGGGTGGCTTGGGGAGTCATGGGTATGGTGGATGGGTGGCTTAGGGAGCCATGGGTATAGTGGGTGGCTTGGGGAGTCATGGGTATGGTGGGTGGGTGGCTTGGGGAGCCATGGGTATGGTGGATGGGTGGCTTGGGGAGTCATGGGTATGGTGGATGGGTGGTTTGGGGAGCCATGGGTATGGTGGATGGGTGGCTTGGGGAGTCATGGGTATGGTGGATGGGTGGCTCGGGGGAGCCGTGGGTACAAAGGATAGGCAGTTTGTGTGGGCGTGTCAGCGGTGGTGAGTTATGATATATATATATATATATATATATATATATATATATATATATATATATATATATATATATATATATATTTAAAGAGAGGGTGGGGGTGGGAAGAAGATATTGGGAGGGAGTATTATCACAATACACTTTTCACAAGACAATTAACTTCACAAACATCACCAAACACAACACTTATAAAGACTGCATGCAACAACTTCCGTTGCACAACAACAACAACCACAGAACACATTGCAGACACTCACACTTAATAATATTGACTAGAAGGAAAGGAGGGAGACGTTGACAGGATTTACAAATCCCGTCCAATGTGTGTAGTCGTTACAACCGGCGCAGCGGTCACGCAAGAAACCCGCTCGAATCCCTGTCACGCGAGGTACTGTGCCCGTGACTCCTCCTACCGTCTGCACGCCCATCTGTCCCGCCCCGGTTGACGGATGCTCCTTTTTGAGTTTGGCAATCCGAAATAAATGTTAACATTATTCCCCCCTATTTACTTTTTTTTCCTACACGAGTGTTTTTTAATTGTGGTTTACTCCGTGCTCTATAAATGCTTTAGGGCTTTGTCGTTAAATGGCGGTTTTAGAGCTATAGAGGAAAAAGAGCGAGTTTTGGAAACACGTGTGCCCGGCCGGGCCCTGCTCAGCTGCTCCTGATCTCAGTTCCCACCGGTCGCACCTGAACGATCAATACCACTTCTTAATGTTCACTCTGTCTTCTCTTTCTTAATGTATTCATAAAGCATATAAATATATATATCATATACATATCACTCAATTTGATGGTTTAGATACATAGTACAGATCTGTATCACGGTAACTCTAAAAAGTCATTCTAAATAATATTGCTAATGCCTGGAGTAACCGTTCATAGCACAACAACTGTGAAAGTGACAAAAATAATGTTAAAATATGGGGAAAAAGTTGCTAGGTGGCGGGAAAAGGAGGCACGCGCGCCATAACGTGCGTCGCCCCCAGACACGCGCCACAGCCACTCCCTCACCTAGTGCTTGGCTACATTTCTGTACTAGACACCTTTCGGCCTTATAGTTCAACGCGGTTCTATCTTATAAAGGAGCTTCCGTGCTCTTAAAGATCAAGTAACGTTGAGATCCTATAGCTAACAAACAATCAGAGAAAATATAAAAAAATATCATCTTTTGTTTGCGGGCGTGCGTGCGTCAAGTTGCTTAGGATTTATATTCTTATAGATTAATAACTTTTGTAATAAGTATCTTAGTTTTAACACATACAGAATCCATAAACACCTATAAATCTCATACGCAATCTTTCCATAAACCTTCAAATTTCAATTAGCATCAAAATAAAAATGGGAATTAGAAATAGAAAACTGATAACCGTGCTGCTGTGAACATCTGCTCCTGATGGGGGGGGGGGGGGATGTTGTTTGGGGTGGGTGGATAGATGGGAGGGATGGAGGGAGAGGGTTCATAAGGGGGGATGGATGGATGGGGGGGTTGATGAAGGGAAAGGTGGTGGTGATGGTGGGAAATCTGTCTCTGTTACTCCAATTTGTGACCTTTCTGGGTTTCAGGAACGGAACCCCCCAATATTTAGTTCGTTGAGCCACACCAACAGAAGTATAGTTGTAGAGTATTTTATGTCAGTATAGGTAGTGTATATACGTTTTCACCGAATACAATATTGTTTATAAAATAAGGTCATTATATATGATGGGAATTAGATAACAATGTTCTTTTAGCTAACTTGTTTACAGTGGAACACAATATTTACAACGTGGAAGATGCAGGTAGTTCAAGCTAATTAAGGTGTTCTCTATGTTACAATACCACAGTCAATCACAACATTGTTCAGCCTGTAAGTCACACTCACAGCCTGCATGAAGGACTGCCAGGGGGACATACCCATACCCTGCAGGAAGGATTGCCAGGGGGTCATACCCATACCCTGCAGGAAGGACTGCCAGGGAGGTCATACCCATACCCTGCAGGAAAGATTGCTAGGGAATATTTTTGGTTAAGATTTATAAATTGGTATAATAAGGTTAATATTAGGCTGTATCTATATTTTTTGCGTAATATTTTGGTTAAATAAAATTATTCGCGGTAGAGTTCTAGAGTTATATCTGTCAACGATGCTTTACAAGTCATGTAACTCAGTGTAGCTATTGGGATGAGATGCATAATACTTCAAGCATGAGCGACACGGCTCTTGTCTATGTTGTGGAATCTCGCCTGCATGTTTGACCGTCACAGAGTGAAGGTGTTCTCGACTTCGGTGCTCTGCGATCATTTAAGTGTTCGTCTATATGAAGCCTCATAGGCTCAACAACAAAACAAGATAGAAGAATTTGAGCGATTTCATGTGATCTCGTGTGAAGCAGGAGTTACTATAGGGAACTCTCTCTTGGGCAGACCTGATTTACAATAGAAAAATTATGGTGCAAGACTGATAGGAAGTTAAGAGTGCTCTGTCGTGCGACAGAAGTCACCTCTCTGTCGTGCGAGGGAAGTCACTGCTCTGTGACAGTGGTTAATGTGAGACTTTGTCAACGACCCGTGTTCTGGTCGGCTGTGGAAGACAGCTGGTGTGTGGGGGACCAACACATGGATTATTAAAGAAGTACTACATTATTCACACCATGAATCCAGTAGTGTCTGTATTGACTGTGGTAGGAAAACCCTATAATTTATGCTAATCAACGTTTGTTGCAGCAGTTGTACTGCAACGTTGATTTTCGCCTCGACTAGAACAGCATACAAGAAACTGTAGAAAGGCTGTAACTATTAGTGGGCCAATGCAACAGATATTGTAACTATGAACGTTCACTAAACTCGTAATAGTAAACTCACCACAACATTGCACGTAAGCAGTAGTCTAAAGAACTACCTTGGAATCTACAGGTAAACTGTTTTCATTGCTGTTCATGTAGGGAACGATTTGTTCAACCGTCCCACCACATGGATGGTTTGATGTGGTGGTGGGTGATGATATTCTCGACAGTCTGACGATGGGGGTACGGAGACATATTGGGTAATCCATTAGGGGGTAAATCAAGGTGACAGGGACATATCATTCAAGTTATGTAGGGAATGAATTAAGGGATATTCCCGTGAGGTACAATACAGTCAGGACGAGCATTGACAAATCTAAATCTAAAATCGCAAAGGAACTGATACAGAAACTGTTCAGAAAATTCATCTTCAGAAGATGAAGATGTTTCTTCATCTTGGACTCTCGGATCTTGGATAAATAGTCTCACGACTACTAAGATTTTTGTACAGTCAGTGTGGTCTAGTGGTTAAGGTACCCAAGTACGCCAAGGTACATAGTGCTCCTGGTTGTCTGAGTTCGAATCCTTCTGGGATGTGGAGTTTTCAGTTAAAAATTATATATATATAAAATATTTTTTTTTATACCTAAAAGGGGTACCACCTCTGGTGCAAGTGTAGAGACCCATAGCCTCGGAGAAGAAAATAAAGAGTACTCAGAGAAGACCTTGTGGATCCTCACTGAACACTTTGATATTTTCTTCTCCTACCACCCCTATTCTTTTACTGTATGTATATATATCTAACTTTATTTTAAAATTTCGTTACATAAAAAGGGTTACAACATTGGTTACATGCAAGGTACAAGACTACTTGTCACAAGTTGTATAGCTCCTCCAGCTCCTCAGATGGCAGGCAGGAACCATGAATGCAGTAAGCATTTCCTCTCTGGATCGCCACATTAAGGCGCTGAAAAAGAAAACTGGCGGCTCTAGGGTCTCTAGTTGTTTCAATTAGCTTGGACCCCAGCTCCTTCAAAAAACTTGCAACACTTTTACCCCAGGCATTGTCTCTGAGGCAATGGGAACAAAATTGTAGTGGAGATCAAGGTCTCCGTATTTACGTGACTTGGCAGCTTCCCGGTGATTGGTAGCACCTCCTGCCTGTGCAGCACTGAAGTTAACATAGGTGTTGGCTAAAGTTGAAATGCAAGTGTGGTCCCATAAACTGTTTACCATTCTTCCAGGGGTTCACCGTGATCCCATCTAGGCGACCGACAGGCTCATCAGAGTTGAGGGACATTAGGTAACGGGGCTCTCTCTGCTGGACAACCGGCCATGGTAAGGCTTCTCTTGATAATGTCGTTAACCTCGCCGTGTCTTGCATGCCATCCGCCTGTCCTTTGGCAGAGAAAGCCATGCCGTCCGTACCTCTCGGCCACTGCCTCACTGCAAATACACCTGTATTCGGTGTGGATTAGGGCAGCGAGGTGGAGAGCCACAGAAATTCAGAGGGCCTGCGGTGTGAGACGAGTGCCAGTTGCTGACATTGGGGTTACTAATATGAAGTCCCCTGCATGGGGAGCTGCTACAGCTCTAAGTCGGGCAATATCATGTGATGTTGTCGCTGCTTCTTGGTCGGCAATGGGGCGATCCCAGCTGGATTGCTTATGGGCTTCAGAGAGCAGTGGTTGAGGTGCTGGTCCTGCGAGAGAGACCCATTTAGTGGTGCAGACTGTAAAGCTGGGATCATGTATCCCTGCCCGTTGAACTAGCTGCTCAGGTAGGATTTCCTTCACCAAGTTGTCAGACGCCACTGAAGAGGACAGGAACGCTGGTATCGCAATTTGTGTTGCTGTGCGCACGCCAAGGCCCCCCCGAGTCTGACAGAAAGGGACTCCTGTTTCCACTGTAAGTCGCTGAGAGAAAGGTTGAGGGCTTTTTCTATCATTGATTTCAGCAAATATAAATTCAGATAAAAAATAATATATATATATATATATATATATATATATATATATATATATATATATATATATATATATATATATATATATATATATATATATAGTAGGCATCCTTCAGTCTCGGGAGACTATGGAGTTGCGCCCTAGTTGTCAATCCTGGTGCAGCGTCTGGTGTGACTGATGAGGCCAATCCGAGAGTGGCAGTCCTTCCCACACCGAGCACAAACGAAGTCCGATTCTGGTCTGTCTTCCTGGTTACCGGCTTTCCTTCTCTGTCTCTTTGCCTCCGATTCCTTGGCAAGTGACTCCTCGAACTTGGAGAGACCTCTTTGAACAGACTGCCTCCAGGCTGAACGGTCTGCAGCCAGTGTCTCCCATATAGCAAGATCGACGTCCATGGCTTTCAGGTCCCTTTTGCATACGTCTTTGTACCGTAGCTGGGGCTTGCCTACTGGACGCTTTCCCTGCCTCAGCTCTCCGTACAGGAGATCCTTGGGGATCCTGCCGTCGCCCATTCGCACAACGTGCCCGAGCCAGCGCATTCGTCTCTGTTTCAGCATTGTGTACATGCTGGTGATTCTTGCTCTCCCCAAGACGTAGGAGATATATATATATATATATATATATATATATATATATATATATATATATATATATATATATATATATATATATATATAGAGATAGATATATATATATATATATATATATATATATATATATATATATATATATATATATATATAAGTTTCTGAGGGTACCACCTCTGGTGCCAATGTGGGGACCCATAGCCTCGGAGAAGAAAATAAAAAGTATTCAGAGGAGACCTTGTGGTTTCTCACTGAACACTAATATTATCTTCTCCTACCACCCCTATATATATATATATATATATATATATATATATATATATATATATATATATATATATATATATATATATATATATATATATATATATATATATATATATATATTTAGTTATTTAGATGTAGATATATAGATACCCGGGAGTTAGTCGAGAGTTGTGGAGCTGCTTCCTGGGGAAGATAACTTAATTCCCGTCAGGGGAAAAAGTTCTTGTGTGTGACGCCCGTGACGTCATGGACTTGCGTAGGGCGGCGCTACAGGACTCGCCAGCCTACGCCAGCGTCACTGCAGCGGGGTTGTGAGTTAAGCAGCCAGAGGACCCCAGAGGTGAGTATAGGGCAGGCAAAGGTTTCAATGGTGAGTACATGGCATGCAGAGGCCCCAGAGGTGAGTATAGGGCAGGCAGAGGCCCCAGAGGTGAGTATAGGGCAGGCAGAGGCCTCCAGAGGTGAGTATAGGGTAGGCAGAGGCCCCCAGAGATGAGTATAGGGTAGGCAGAGGCCCCCAGAGGTGAGTATAGGGCAGGCAGAGGCCCCAGAGGTGAGTATAGGGCAGGCAGAGGCCTCCAGAGGTGAGTATAGGGCAGGCAGAGGCCTCCAGAGATGAGTATAGGGTAGGCAGAGGCCCATAGATGGGAGTATAGGGCAGGTAGAGGCATCCAAAGGTGGGTATAGGGCAGGTAGAGGCATCCAAAGGTGGGTATAGGGCAGGCAGAGGCATCCAAGGGTGGGTATAGGGCAGGCACGACCAACAGCTTCGTATTGACCCCTGGCATATCTCATCACGGCTTCCCATGGTCTTAGCTTTGCTTTTACACTATATATATAAATAAAATCTGTATTATTGTATCATAGAATACCGGTCATCATTGTATTTTAAAACTTACCTAAGGGCCATTAACTCTAGTGGCCTCGACAAGGACAGGAAGCTGGGGGCTTGTCAAGGGTCTCCCTGACCAGCCTATATATATAGGCAAACAATTAAAAAACCAGGCTTTGTCTAAGTGTCTTAAGTGTTTGTACGATTTGACATAAACAGAATTATACACAGGAATAGTATTATTTCTCCATGTCACATTAATAATTTGCCTTGTCAGGGGACAGGTGGCCAGTGTATGTACACTGGCATGTACTGGTATCAATTTCCCCTTCCCTCCCCCATCCCTCCAAAGCTGAACTATTAACCCTCCCAGGATGTAACTGTACAACAGAGGACTAATTCCCAGGTATTTATTTACTGCTAGATGAATAGAGGAATTAGGGGAAGGGGAAACGTGCCCAACCATTTCCATCCCACCCGGGAGTCAAACCCGAGATTCCCAATTGTGAGTCGAGAGTAAACCAAACTGTACTGCTGAGACATTGGGTGGATCGCCCTGAGTTTTGCACGGTTAAGTCAAATCATACACAGGCATTTTGACTTAGGTCATTTTAATGATTGTTAAAACTCTACATTGGTACGTATTGTTAGGTTAGGCTGAGTTAGGTTAAGTCTTATTAGGTTGGATTAGGTAAGGTTGGGTTTGGTTAGGTTAGATAGGTTGAATTAAGTTAGATAGGTTTTAAAATTTGTTGAACTGTCTTGGGTACACTGTGCCTGTATTCATTTTTTATAGAAATATGTTGTCTTGCTTTTCTGGATAGCTCATTCATCAGGATAACCAAAGTCACTAAGCTTCTTATGTAGTCCTCACATATTTTACTTATCATTAAATTAAAAATTAATACTGTAGCCAAATTAAAAATCAAAATACAGCATAATATATCAAATAAAATGCAATACTGTATAGCCAAATCTGTACTGTAGTAGTTAGTAAAGCCCATCCCATAACATTAGTATGAGCTATTTGCTGTAAGGTGCACTGGTGAGTCTGGTTTAAAGTTTATTTAATTTGTGAGTGAGTCATTAATCAAATTATAATGTTTGAATAAAATTTAACATATAATAATGATTAGTATGCTTGAGAACAGAATTAGAAGCAGGGCATTTCATTGAGGTATATTGAGTGACCAATTCTGTACTGTACTGAGAAATGGAGCAACTGGTCTCGAGAAGTAAGGTGTGTTTTATAGTATGTGTTGAAAGAGGTATGACTTGTTTTGACAGCATTTCAATTGGAAAATTGTCTTATTAACAAATCTTTACCATACTGACTTTCCTCGGAATGCAATCCCACAACAATTGCCTAACTCTAGAGTATCTATTTATTGCTAGGTGAACAGAGGCATCAGATAAAAGGAAACTTGCTCAAATGCTTTTGGCAGGATTCAAACTAGGCACTTTTTGATACATGTTCAAGCTTAAACACAGATACTGCTAGGCATTAGATAATTCTACCAGGCCTTTGAGATACACCCTTACCAACCGTAAACCTGAACCAGGATCCGAGTCGTCTGTGAATCAAATGTCAACCCAAGACCCCCAACTATTTCTTGTAAGGTTGCCTCTGTCTACGAACTTAGTCCTAACATCCTAAGCAAATCCACACATCCCCTGCTTCAGTTGAAACATTCTCTTCCAAATCTACTCATCGTCTTGTTCATCGAATCGAGTGAGTAAATTTTGCATGGAAAAGGTGTGTTCCAACCAGAAATTTGCTGAATTGAGGTTCATTGAATTAAGATTTAACTGTACAGAGTTTATTAAGTATAATTTCTCATTATCAGGGTCAGGAAGCCTATTAGGCTTATTGAGGTGCCCCCTAGGCTAACGACTGACTTTTTCCAGGATGCAAGCCACAACAGTTGCCTAATTCCTGTGTACCTGTTTACTGCTAGGTGAAGAGAGGCTCCAGATGAAAGAAAATGTGCTCTGTCTACATCCAGCATAATAGTTGAACCTGGGACCTTTCAACTGTGATCCAACTGCACTGACCCCTACAAGCCAAGCCAGTAGGGACTGTGTTTAATTAGCAGCTTGAGGAACATTTTGTAAGTCTTCAGCACTGCATAAGATTTCAGCATTACAATAGGTATGGCAAATTGTTTGTAAATGACAGAACATAGAGATTGCTTGTGTACCCATGGCTGTAATCATGGTGTCACACTCTCACCTGTAACATGTGGCTGGTATATGACCAATAACACTGTAGTCTTAACACCTACACCTAAATACAGTACAAGGTCAAGAATAAGGGTTGCTTCTATGAAATATAATATATATACAGTAGTGGGTAAATGGGTAAGATCACAACATTGATTGTAGTAAAGACATTGACAGTATAAGATATTGCAGCTCTTTGTGTAAGTGTAAACTATAATCTAAGCTCTTCCAACAGGCACTGTTCCTCTATATTAAATGGCTGGGGCAAGGACGATTGTGAAACAGGAGCGTGGAAGTTTTTGTAGCAGTGTCTTGTGTAGGTGAATCAACTTACACCATTTAACCTGGTAGTAAAGCCAATGTTTATTATTTTGTATGTGGAGACAAATGGACAGCATGGTAAATTTTCTAAAGAGTGTCTTTGTTTTTTAAGGAATAATAGGTAAATATGCTCTAATAATTTGGGAATTAAATGATTAATAGGACAGTACTGTTAAATGTAATTTTTGTAAATGTGTGAATGCTACTTTTATTAACATATTTAATGGTGTCCCAAGATTAAGGTATGCCTAATCATACAAAGATTTGTTTTTTAAAAGTTTTGTTTCAATTGTGCGTATTTGATAGGGAAAAAGTGACGTATTTGTGAGTTACCACTGCAAATTCTTGAAAGTGAAAAATAGCTAGCTGTGAATAACGAAATACTTAAGTTATAGTATGAAGAGTTGTACTGTATATCTGGTGGGTGACTTGCAAGGGATTATTACTAGCCATTATAATAATAATGAGTGAAAAACGAGCAAATGAAGCCATTTCATCTGGTGAGGAACTGAAATTGCCTGCCAAAACTGAACCAGATGAAATGGATAAAACTTTCAAGCTTTCAAAGGAGCATTCTAGTCAAAAACCACATCAATGCCGCTATTGTTCCAAAACATTTTCTCACAAGTGTTATTGTGAGTATCACGAGAGGGTACACACTGGAACGCGGCCACATAAGTGCAACACTTGTGGTAAAACCTTTGTACATAGAAGCAATCATGCAGTTCACATGAGGATACATACAGATAACAAGCCTTATAAGTGTAAAATGTGTAACAAGCAATTTCGGGTCAAATGCAACCTGATTGCTCACTCAAGAATTCATACTGGTGAGAAACCTTACAAATGTGACCTCTGTCCAAAGACTTTTATCCAGAAACATAATGCTATTCAACACAAAAGAACACACATGGAAGAGAAACCCTATAAATGTGATTTTTGTCAAAAATCTTATTTCATAAAGGATGACCTCAATGTTCACTTAAGAATACATAATGGAAAAAATTATCAATGCTCTTTATGTAGTAAAGGATTCTTTGATAAAACTACACTTATGTCTCACATGAGTATCCATACTGCTGATAAAGTTTATGAGTGCAATTTCTGCAACATAACATTTTTACAAAAGGATCACTTTAATTATCATATGAGAGCACACATAAGTAAAACATCTTTTAGGTGTGAATATTGTTGTAAGGCCTTCTTGCAAAAATCATTACTTAATAAGCATAAAAAGATACATATCAATGAGATGAAATTTATCTGTTCTTTATGTGGAAATGAATTTTCTCGAAAGTCGTGCCTGTCATTACATATGAAAATGCACGCAGAGAGAGAAAAACTTTTCAAGTGCAAATTCTGTGGAAAACGTTTTAGTCAGAGTGCCCATTGTATTCATCACATGAGCATTGTATGCAAGTATAGAAAAAATATCAACAGTTTATTTGAGTTTATTGATTGTGGAGTAAGTAATGATGTAGCTAGTACTAAATCTGGAAATGTTTCTGATGACTTAAACTCAATGAATATGTGTGAGATAAATACAGAAAGGAACCCGGCTACTTTTGCTATCACTTCAGCTGAGACAGTGTTCTCTGATGTTGTTATAAAGAAAGAGGAAATTTTGGAGGATGATGATGTTGCTTAACCCTTGCACTGCACACCTGTTACATGTGATACTCCTGTGGTGCACATCAAAAAAATTAATTACAAAATTATTTTTCTTGCAAATGATGTACTGTATTGTTATAATGCATTCCCTGATCACTGGAAACTAAAAAAAAAAATTGTATATAGCAGTGTGGTGTAATGCTAAAATATGACAATGACACCACTGATTCACAATTGCTGTTCACACTTCTGGTTTCTAAATTCTGAATATGAATCTTTTTTTACATTTATTCAATTTATAAAGGAACATGTGCTCCCATTGCATGATGTGCAGAAATAAAAACTGCGGCTGTGTGCTGTTTTTTATACGTCTTGCTTTAGAAACATTGTCACCAGGATCAGGTTTACTGACATCTAAACCTTGTACATTGGGTCTTTTCTGTCACTGTCAGTGTTTTCTTTGTCAGTATCATCAATAAATAAATGCAGATAATTATTTATTTAGTCATTATTAAGGGATGCTGTGTTGTAAAAGTTGCATAGCAGTGCTGTGAGCTGCAGCAACATGCACTACCCATGATTGATCCAGGGTTAGTATGCAGCGATGAGTCACAATAACGTGGCTAAAGTATGTTGACCAGACCACACACTAGAAGGTGAAGGGACGACGACGTTTCGGTCCATTCTGGACCATTCTCAAGTCGATTGTCAACTTGAGAATGGTCCAGGACGGACCGAAACGTCGTCGTCCCTTCACCTTCTAGTGTGTGGTCTGGTCAACAACAGGGTTGGTATGTTAGTACTGAGGCTTTTACACCCAGGAGTGGGTGCCTATGATTATTTTCAAAGAAGGTCTCTGATTACTGGAGACCTGAAGATTACACATGAGCCCCTTGTTTCTGTGGGAGTTTTAAATATTACACTAGACCTAAAACATCCCAGCTTGTTGCATGCACAATCAATGCTACAACCCTGGTTCTTATGCACAGCTGAAGAGTTAAGAGAAGCTTTAAAATAATTGTTTATTGGTGAATGCAGTACTTGTGCTTATAAAAAAGTTGCAACTCTTCTTACTCATGTATGTGATGTAGATGTAAAGATGCTGTACAGTATATTAATATACTGCACAATGTTTTCTGCATTTGCAGACTAATGACATGTTTTTGTCATATTATCACTGTGTTTAAAAAATAAATTAACTTTCAGTGTACATAATTAACACATTAGCATCCCAATGTCACATTTTAGCACCATCCATACTCCTACAGTAAATGTTCTGATGATACTAAAACACGTCATCGGTCTTGGTCTCGACCACTGCTGGGTTCAAAGTGACCGGAGCCTCAAAACCCACCTAAATGAACTTCCCCAACCATATAAATAAACAAATCTCTCGAACAAGCATGCGCTCATTTACCTCACCTCTCCTAATTGTTTAGGGTAAGGCGAGGCATTGGTCTGCAGCGTTGCTTTTAACTGTACGCATTCATGCTCCAGAAGGTGGTGATTGTATTCTACGTTGCCCGGTTCACTTGCTGACAGGCTGTTGGTCTACTTTTTGGGTTCACCTGCTGTGGGTAAAGATAGGGCTACAATGGAGCCAGATTCTAGGTCGTATGTGGCTGATGTGATCTAGTAGTTGGGAGCCATCACTGAGATAGCTTCAGGGAGCCTCTGGGGCTCACCCAGAAATTGGCGTTTCATTACACCCAATGCTGGGTTTTTTATTATTCTCACTCAGAAATGGCAATGATATAAAGTTCACTGACGTAGTACAGTATACTGTATATCTTAATTGATCTTATAGGCACTGGTGGCCAATATTAAAGTAAGCCTTGGTACTAATAGTCTGTGTCCAAACTATACTCTTAAGTAAACTGTGACTGATTAAATCAGACTATGTATTTTGCTACATAGTCTCCCCGGCTTAGTGCCGCCTTTTAATAATTACCGTATTTACTTAAACCAAACCTGTTGATAAGATTTCTGTGAGGATATAGTGAAATAAATCAAGAAGTAGGTGTGTAAGTATAGATTGTATGAAGTGTCATGAAATTATGAAAAAGAAATGATGATATTTATTTCCTAAAACCACTTGGTATGAATTTGTACACAAATTCTTAAAGTTATTTTGTATGTTTTTAGTTCAGCTGATCATATGTAATCAAGTATCTCTCACTTGAATTGCAATTACTGAAGTTTCACTTCCTTCAATGTTTATGATGTTTCACTTCCTTCAATGTTTGTGATGTTTCACTTCCTTCACTGTTTGTGATGTTTCATTATGTAAACTGTACCAGATTATTTTTTTATTCGACAAACTATAGGACACACTTTTGTATATCTTGATATCAAATTTACTTGAAGAGTACAGTATTCATATCAAAATATTTTATGGATTCTTTCCAAGTTTTCTGTGAGGGATCCAAAGGTGTCTCCTTGGTGCTTAATGCCTGGCAAGCTCCACCCAGTTCAATCCATGCCAGGCCCAATGAGTCTTAAATAAGCATTCTTAGGACCAGGATCAAAACCTAGAACCCTCTAGACAGGTGCAAGGAGAAGGGGGATTGTAAATCACCCTAACCAGAAAAAGCCTTAAGAAAGTTGAAGAGAGTCAAAACAGATGAGAGCTAGGTAAATGAACCAAAGGAAATGGGACAGTAGAGTCAGGAGAAGAGCATAACGGCAAAACTGTTCATGCCAGGCATATGGCTGAGGGAATATTTGATTCAGGTGGTTCAAGGAGGAACGTGTGAATCCCCTGGTGGTGCCAACCTGTGGGTTGTGGTGGAAAGTGGAGCTAATAATTAAAATTGCTTCATCGCAAGTAGTTTGTGAATCTCTTTCTGTCCCATTTTCTGTGGTACATTATATTTACTTAGCTGTCATCTGTTTCAACTTGTCCAACTTTTTGGTGGCCTTTCCCTGTTAGGGTGATTTACTAACTCCTGTTCCTTGTACCTCTATAGTTGAGGCTAGGTTTTGGCTCTTGTCCCTGGTAGGCTTATTTTTGACCCAACATAGATTGAATTGGGTGGAGCTTGCCAGGCATCAAACACTAAAGGAGCCACCAGGACCCACCGAAAAGATAAGTTTCATTATATTCATTACTGATTTTTTTGCATTGAATTATGATCCCATGATTGCACAGGCTTGCTTCACTGGAAGTCTTCCGTTATTTGTATGAAAAGTTGATTTTGGGTATTTGAATATTAAATATTATTTTCTGCAATTTTCTGTCATGAAGAAAATTATGCTTTTGAAAAATTGTCTTTGGAGGTTAGGGTGATCTTTAAAATGCAGTAGTAAAAGAATCAGTGGAGGCACCCACTATTCCACTGCTCTAGCATATTCAATAGTGTTTTTGTTTTGTGTTAATTGTGCTCGCATTAAAACTTCAACTACTCATAGTACTGTGATTCATATTTGTGAGATATTAAATACAGCTAAATATTCCCTGTGGCTTACTATTAGTTTGTATTGTAGATTTGTTTACATGTACTGGTGTAGTTACTATAGGTTAGCATAACTAACTTATCATTAAAAATTCTAGTGGTTCATCATTAAAAAATAATTTGATTCAGGTTGTAGAAGACAAATTACTTGTATGTAAATTGTTTAAGAATCTATAAAGTGGGTATGAAACATGTGAAGTTGACAATAGAAACTAATATGAAGAGATCATGCATCTTATTTCATCCTCCACTAACTGTTATTAAGATAATTATACTGTAGTACTGTAGTACTGTAGCAATGAACAATTTCATAATATTAATGCTAAAAATGTATTACACTGTAAATATGAGATTTGACACCTAAAGTTACTTTCTCTTTCAGTTAAAGTTACTTTTTACCTAAATATTTCTCAGTTTTTCCATGGGATCGTTTATGTACTTAAGGTTGGCCTGCTCTCCTGAACAAGTAGGTGCGAGTGCAGACTGATGTTACGTATTTTCTTGTATTGAAGATGATGATGTACTGTATACATGGATAGAGCACTCTTTTTCATGTATATAAATGTATACAAATTTAGAAAATATAAATATCGTAAAAATTCATTTAGCAATTATTGTGCTGTTTTGGAAATACTTATAGCTTCGTATAGTATCGTGTCACTTGGACCATATATTCTCCTAGAAAATAAAGACTTTTAAAGTGTATTTTTTAACATTGGGGTTTTCTTTCATGATTTATAATGGCTGTGGTGGAAGGGTTACAGAGGCACCACTACTCCCATCCTGTGGGTTGTTGTGGAAGGGTTACAGAGGCACCACTACACCCATCCTGTGGGTTGTTGTGGAAGGGTTACAGAGGCACCACTACACCCATCCTGTGGGTTGTTGTGGAAGGGTTACAGAGGCACCACTACTCCCATCCTGTGGGTTGTTGTGGGAGGGTTACAGAGGCACTACTACACCCATCCTGTGGGTTGTTGTGGAAGGGTTACAGAGGCACCACTACTCCCATCCTGTGGGTTGTTGTGGAAGGGTTACAGAGGCACCACTACACCCATCCTGTGGGTTGTTGTGGAAGGGTTACAGAGGCACCACTACTCCCATCCTGTGGGTTGTTGTGGAAGGGTTACAGAGGCACCACTACACCCATCCTGTGGGTTGTTGTGGAAGGGTTACAGAGGCACCACTACACCCATCCTGTGGGTTGTGGTGGAAGGGTTACAGAGGCACCACTACACCCATCCTGTGGGTTGTTGTGGAAGGGTTACAGAGGCACCACTACTCCCATCCTGTGGGTTGTTGTGGAAGGGTTACAGAGGCACCACTACTCCCATCCTGTGGGTTGTTGTGGAAGGGTTACAGAGGCACCACTACTCCCATCCTGTGGGGTTGTGGTGGAAGGGATATGGAGCACATGCAGGAGAAGTACAGAACTGATACGTACCATTGTACAATATATATATACATTAAGAAAACTAATATACTGAAGCATATATTTGCCTTGCATATATATGCAGTAACTAGCCGAAAAAAAGTGGGGGTATGTAAACATTAGTATAACCCAATAGTTTTGTGTGAACTGAAAATTGGCTTAACTGTCGGCAATCGTGAAGGAAAGCAATGTACATTGTAAACACATGGCAAAATGTTACTAAAGCGACCATACGAGTTATAAATACTCATACTCTGCCCAAGTAAAACAGAAACAAGCAACACAATAGAGCACTCTTTGCTCTATTGTAATCATTAGTGGGCCAGCCAGAGGCTTAAGGCCCGCGCAGGAATATATCTGAAAAAAAAGTAGGAACTCTTCAATGTTGAACCAGCATTATTCTTAGATATTGTGCCCATTGGGTGACATCTTCCCCAAATAATAGCTTGGGTATTTTGAATGAACAGCCTGTTAAAATTGATGAATGTGTCGGGTCTTTGGGGTCGACGGCTGGATGGAATGGACTTGGTCTGAGGACGGATTGTGCACTGAGAGCAAATCAAGTTATCCGATTGGGGATATACAAGCCAATAAATACCAAGGTTCTCTGTTCGGGGACGCACAATTTGGGCTGTGTGCTCTATAACCATTCCTCTGTAACTATACCTCTTTCCCCTATCCTCTATAATCAATCAGAATGTTTGTAACTTTGCATCTATGTATGTACTTTTCCTAAATAAAATATTATTATTATTATTAATCGGATTCGTTTATAACTAATCGGGTTGTCCGCTCAATAATTGCAACATACACTAGCCAATCAGATTAATTTGAATTTGAAATTATCAATTTGAATTTGAATTTGAAATTATCCCGGTTCGGGAATGCATTAATGGTGATGTCATTGATTTCGTTGCTACTGCTGCTCTTGTGTCTATCAAAAAAACTTAAAAAAAAAACTGGTACAGTCGGTTTCATCATCGACTCAATCGAAAATTCCGGGTCGGGACAGAAATAGTATAAGGGCGTGTTTCCTATCACCTAATGCCCCTGTTCACCTAGCAGTAAATAGGTACCCGGGAGTTAAAGCTTGTTATGGGATTGCATCCTGGGCAGAGGGTAAGCAGTTCCACCTTGGCTCACTTTTTTATTCTACCAACAATCCAAATCCAAAGGATTGGGTCACCTTTTTAACGGAATCGACCAATTCGTTAAAAAAGCGACGTAGTGGACAATATGCATGGTTATGAGCGATCATGGGTGGTGCAACTGGCATTTCCCGCCTGGGGCCGTGGCGTCGCTCCTCTTAGGGATAACTTGTGTAAGTTTCCCATTGTGGGTATCAACTGGAATATTAGGAAATGCTTGCGTGCAAGTGTGTGCGTGTGCGTGTGTGTACTCACCTAATTGTGCTTGCGCTTTGTATCTTTGGTCCCGCCTCTCAACCGTCAATCAACTGGTGTACAGGTTCCTGAGCCTATTGGGCTCTATAATATCTACACTTGAAACTGCGTGTATGGAGTCAGCCTCCACCACATCACTGCCTAATGCATTCCATTTATTAATTACTCTGACACTGAAAAAGTTCTTTCTAATGTCTCTGGGTCATTTGGGTACTCAGCTTAAACCTGTGTCCCCTTGTGCGTGTGCCACCCGTGTTAAATAATCCATCCTTGTCCACCCTGTTAATTCCCCTGAGAATTTTGTATGTAGTGATCATGTCTCCACTAGCTCTTCTGTCTTCCAGCGACGTGAGGTGCAGTTCACGTAGTCTCTCCTCATAACTCATGCCTCTTAGTTCTAGGACTAGCCTAGTGGCATACCTCTGAACTTTTTCCAGCTTCGTCTTGTGCTTGACTAGATATGGGCTCCATGCTGGGGGCTGCATACTCCAGGATTGGCCTTACATATGTGGTATACAAGGTTCTGAAGTATTCCTTACACAGGTTTCTGAAAGCAGTTCTGATGTTAGCCAGCCTCGCATAGGCCGCTGGTGATATTCTTTTGATGTGGGCTTCGGGAGACAGGTTTGGCGTGATATCAATTCCCAGATCTTTCTCTGTCCGTTTCGTGAAGGACTTCATCTCCCATTCGGTATCCAGTGACTGGCCTCCTAGTTTCATTACCTTACATTTACTTGGGTTGAATTTTAGTAGCCATTTGTCGGATCATTCCTTCAGTTTGTCTAGGTTATCTTGTAACCTTGTACTATTTATTCTCCTGTGTCCTGATCCTCCTCATAATTTTTGCATCATCAGCAAACATCGAGAGGAACGAGTCAATTCCTTCTGGGAGATCATTTACGTATATCAGAAACAGTATAGGTCCAAGGACTGATCCCTGTGGAACTCCACTGGTGACTCCCCGCCACTCCGAGACCTCATCCCTCACGGTGACTCGCTGTGTCCTGTTGCTTAGGTACTCTCTTATCCAGTGGAGTACCTTCCCTGTCACTCCTGCCTGCATCTCCAGTTTGTGCACTAGTCTCTTATGTGGTACTATGTCAAAAGCTTTCTGGCAGTCCAGAAATATGTAGTCTGCCCAGCCCTTTCTCTCTTGCCTGATTATTGTTGCCTCCTGGTCATAGAACTCAATTAATCCTGTTAGGCATGATTTGCCATCTCTGAACTCATATTGATGTTGTGTTACAAAGTTCTTCCGCTCCAGATGTTCCACTAACTTTTTTCGCACAATCTTTTCCATCATCTTGCATGGAATGCAAGTTAGGGACACTGGCCTGTAGTTCAGTGCCTCCTGCCTTTCACCCTTCTTGTATATTGGGACTACATTGGCCGTCTTCCAATGTGTGTGTGTGTGTGTTATTCCCTAGATGTGCTTGCAGGTTCGAGTATCCGAAGCCCCGCCTTTTTAACCCTCAGTAGTTCAATGCTGTGTCTGTTTTCAGTCGTGTTTTATACTATATTTACATTAAAAACTGTGTCAACTACTAGCTGTGTGTGTGTGTGTGTGTGTGTGTGTGTGTGTGTGTGTGTGTGTGTGTGTGTGTGTGTGTGTGTGTGTGTGTGTGTGTGTGTGTGTGTGTGTGTGTGTGGGGATATATTCATTATTCACTATCAGTTGTTAGCTCTTGGACCCTGCCTTCCAGTCGGTTTGTTTATGACTCCTGATTAAGTAGATTTAATACTTGCTACAAGCTCGTCAGATATGTGTTGAATCCTGTAAAACCTTTAAAAGAGAGAGAGAGAGAGAGAGAGAGAGAGAGAGAGAGAGAGAGAGAGAGAGAGAGAGAGAGAGAGAGAGAGAGAGAGAGAGAGAGAGAGAGAGAGAGAGAGAGAAGAGAAAGAGAAAGAGAGAGAGAGAGAGAGAGAGAGAGAGAGAGAGAGAGAGAGAGAGAGAGAGAGAGAGAGAGAAAGAGAGATATATATGACTCTCACTGTCTGATATAGTCAGACAATGAAGTACGTTGGGTGTCCTTGAAGCAGGTACACTTGGTACAGGCAGCCTGGCAGGGTTGCCACTATGAGACGCAAGTCATATTCCCCGCGGCTAAGCTCGGCTGGCGGTTCTCTCTTTCATTTCGAATTATAATTTTTTTGTATAATTTTGTCTTATCTTCATGACATGATATTTTGTACTTTCCACAGTGACAAATATATTATATATTAATTTACAGAGTATAGTGGCTGATACAGCTACGTGTATACATACATATATTTTCATTTGAATACAAATATATTATAATTAACTTTCGTGCCTAATAATAAATTTAATGTATGCTTGTCATAATTTACTCTACAATTCTACACTTTATTAGAGCAGATTACTTAACTCTAAGGTTCCTCACAGATTCTGCAACGGTTCTGTAATTTTCCATGTCAGTCCACGGATGCCAGCTGGGCTACTTGTAGCCCAATTGGGATACCATTTAGGATAATTATTTTCAATTCTCTTTTCTGCTACTGTATTCTGGCCGGCCGGTTAAAGTAGTCTCCTGATTTTATAATATGTAATTCGTTTTGTGTACACTCTACCGCCTCCCTGAAGGTTGAATTAGTAATTAATATAAACCTTAATTAACATCTCTAGGATGCAACTCCAAAACATTTGCCTAACTTCCGGGTACCTATTTGCTGCTAGGTGAACAGAGGCATCAGGTGAAAGGAAACGTGCCCAACCATTTTTGTCTGGCCGGGAATAGAACTCGGATCTGTTCCTTATTGTGAGTCGAGAACATAACCACTGTACTATCGAGATCCTGTAACGTATGTGTGACTCATTGCTAACTCGATCTATACTCTGCAATTTTTCATACAGAATAGGGAAGCAGGATACTGCTACTTTAATCTATATGAATGAAGGGTCGTAGTGGTAGTACAGATAGGTTTATTTTCAAATACACAATCGGGAGTTCGAATTCCGGGCGGGACAGAAATGGTTGGGCGCATTTCTTATCACCAACTGTTCTGTTGCTGCTGTTCACCTAGCAGAAAGTTAGTCAGAAGTTAGTCAGCTTGTTGTGGGGTTGTATCCTTTGGAGGGGAAGGGGGAAGGTGGAATTCTTCATAAACCTAACGTGTATAAATACACTCTGGCTGCCTGTCCCCCGACACCATAAATTATTATTATTATTATTATTATTATTATTATTATTATTATTATTATTATTATTATTATTATTATTATTATTATTATTATTATTATTATTATTATTATTATTATTATTATTATTATTATTATGAAGGATTGTAGAGTATAGATCAAGCTTCGTAAACTGCACACTAGACCGATACTCGAAGGAATTAATATATCTAAATTTCTTTGTTTGACTTTACACTGACAGGAAACAAAAACATAGATTTTGGCGCGCCAGTGGTGCCACATGTATCGAGTCTTCGAACGTTTCGCTTGATATTTCTTAAATTAATATCTATTATAACATGTTATTTGTGATTTACAAGATAATTATAGTTTATTTTTACAAAATTTTGTTTAAATAATTTTTCATACATATGAGAATTTGTTTTTTTTGGATGATGTAAAACTCTTATGTTTAGAAAAGTTACCACACCCACATAATAATTAATGCAAGCTGACGCCTAAAATCTCCCTAGATACTCTCGAGTAAATATTGTATTCAGTGATTTTATAAATAGCTATCTTACATTAGTTTACTACCAGTATTTATATTGAGTTATCTTGCTAGATATTACTTTAAAAAATCAGTAAGTGGCAGCAACTCCATAAAGGCGTCATATTCTCGTCCTCTGATTGGTTAATTCAACAACAGCTGGAGGGAGGTTCGCGCCAAATTTAAGGATTTATCTTAGCTGGAGTGAAGTCAGAGTGTGCCCGGCCAGACATAAGTGAGGGTGTGGAAACGGTTTAATCTATCGTACATTTCAAAATGCCAGCTAACGTACTTTCAGAGAGGCTGAACAATGTTACTATTGAAGACAAGGAAAATCAGGTAATTGTAAATACATTTCGCTATTCTTATTATTATATTACTGATACTTGGTTTTGTTTGCATGAATCCTAAAATATTTACTTTGTTCAAATCTTTGTCTTGAATGGTCAGTAAATGTATTTTTCTTGCAGGTCTCGAGTCCAAAGGCGAACAAAACATCTATCCTGAAAGAGAAGGTTCCAAAACAGACTGTTAAAGCGAGTCATGCTAAGGTGAGTGTCTGGAACATAACCGTTTAGCTTTTATGTAAACAACGCTCGTGGGGTCCCCGAGACCGGCAACAATGGCCACGTTGGTCAACTTATTTGAACAGAAATGTTGAATTGTAATCCTGGTCGGGGAGTTTAGTTCATTATGTATCCCCATAACCATCCCGTGGGCGGCATAGGGAAAAGTTACGAAGCACAGGAGCTCAGAGGTTGTATGGGTTAATGGGCTCAGGAGCTCGGGGGTTGTATGGGTTAATGGGTTCAGGAGCTTGGGAGTTGTATGGGATAATGGGCTCAGGAGCTCGGGGGTTGTATGGGTTAATGGGCTCGGGGGTTTTATGGGTTAATGGGCTCAGGAGCTTGGGGGTTGTATGGGTTAATGGGCTCAGGGGTTGTATGGGTTAATGGGCTCAGGAGCTCGGGGGTTGTATGGGTTAATGGGCTCAGGAGCTTGGGGGTTGTATGGGTTAATGGGCTCAGGAGCTCGGGGGTTGTATGGGTTAATGGTCTCAGGAGCTCGGGGGTTGTATGGGTTAATGGGCTCAGGAGCTCGGGGGTTGTATGGGTTAATGGGCTCAGGAGCTCAGGGGGGGTTGTATGGGTTAATGGGCTCAGGAGCTCGGGAGTTGTATGGGTTAATGGGCTCGGGAGTTGTATGGGTTAATGGGCTCAGGAGCTCGGGGGTTGTATGGGTTAATGGTCTCAGGAGCTCGGGGGTTGTATGGGTTAATGGGCTCAGGAGCTCGGGGAGTTGTATGGGTTAATGGGCCCAGGAGCTCGGGGGTTGTATGGGTAATGGGCTCAGGAGCTCGGGGATTGTATGGGTTAATGGGGTTCAGGAGCTGAACAAAATATATTTGGCTAAGGAAGGTAGTCTTGATAAGTGGTTGTAAGATATTTGTAACAAGGATATTTAGATACCAGACTGATGGCTTATAATGCATATACATACAAGTGTTTCAATAATTAAGAATTGGGAGCATTTGTGAAAATGTTTTGCATTGATGTTTGTAGTTTGAGGTAATGAGCTTGCAATTGGGCTAAAAGTTTAAACGGTATATACCGTGTATATTTCTGGTTATGGAGAAAGTTTCCAATGCCTATTTTGATTTAAATGAGTCATTGAAAATAGGCTGAACTTGTATTCAAATTTGCTTTTAATTGAACAAAATTAAATTTAGAATATATAATTGACGAGAATTGGATTGGCTGTAGGTATGAATGAGTAAAAACAATTGTATACAGGCTACTGTGTACAGATTAATTGCAGATTTATTACCTAGCCCAATTTAACCTAACCCATGATATACTTTGATAGTATAATGGCATTTGCTGAATAGATTTTGTCCCTGAACAGTACTAGAAAAATACCAATAGTATCCACAAAAGTTTATGTACTGTATACAGTAATGTATAATACTAGGAGTAGTACAGTACATGGTGTTGCTCAGGTGACAGAGGCCAGATCTACACGTGACACAATCTTCATTACTAACCATCGTTACTACCTAATCGTCTTCTCTCCTTCATTTTTCCCTTCATCACTGTAACCATCCATCATTTTCAGTCATCACTAAAATATTGTAAAAGTATTTGTCAGCCAAATCTATCCTGGCAGGGTACTTCCGTAGAAAATGTTGGAGAAATTTTGGCGAGATTACGTAATTACTGTATTCCAGTTTATCAAATTTAATGAGGAAGATGGGATTAATTGGAATGAAATTAAAAATATTTAGTAACTAAAGAGTTGGCATGGAATGAAGTTAATCAAAGCTATTATGTGCATAAACTATTTGGTTGCCAAATGAACTTCATTCTTGTACAGTAAGCCAGAGTTTACACATTCCATTGGAAAGTTTCTAAAAAGTAATCTGATACTGTATACTATACAATAAAATATTTGTAGTGTAATAATTGTACAGGATTGCATTACTGACTGCATTTATTTTTCCAGGTTGTTGCAATTGACAGGGAGGCTGAACCCCTCTTGAGAGAGAACCCGGGACGTTTTGTCATCTTCCCCATCAAATATCAGGACATCTTTCAAATGTACAAGAAAGCTGTGGCATCATTCTGGACAGTTGAAGAAGTGGACTTGTCTAAGGTAAAACTTTATATGGGATTACAGTATAATTTTATGTATTTTCCACAGATGAATAATAAAATTGGTTATGATGCTGGTTCCCAGAGTAAAGAGGGAGGGTTTTTTTGTATAGGGGATTGGTTTCTTTTGAGATTTTGTATGTAAACCTTTCCTGAATTAAGCACTAGAATTAATACCAGAGGCAGTTTAAAATGTATCAAAATTTTTTCACATACCACAGCATATTAAGCCTATAAACATTGTGGCCAGGAGTGTTTAAAGTTTGCAGCTGAAGTTTGTTTTCTCGTTGATTGTAACTGGAATTTAATAATGCAATGGCATCCTGTATTATATATGAACAAGGCAGTAGTGTTCTTTAGTTGTAAAAAAGCACCGAAACCCTCTGATCCTCCCACTGTGCAAACCCTGCTCCTACGTAGGGTCATAGTTAATGTAGATTGCTCTATGGATCCCCAGTTCTACTTGATTGAAACTCGGAGCCAAATTTGGCATAGTGAACTCGCTTGTACCTCTAATCTTGTTAATTAACTTCCTGCTGATCTTTTATCACCTGTTAGCTTCTCAGTCTTCCACATCAAATTCTTTGTGATTAGAATTTGTAATTTTGGACATTGTTCGCTTGCATATCGACTTTTTCTGCTATGTAGTTCTTTGTGCAAGGTACATACTCGTCCACTTGAGCAGGTGTGCTGCATGCAGGATGTCCTGATTTTTCAAGATAAGAAATTTTATGTTTCAATTGTTCTTTTGTTGTCCCTTGATACAGTTCTTGGTGAATTAAAATCCTTTGACAAGTTCTTTTCTCCTTTTGCTCTATTGGCATCCTGCATTATATCTAAGAACTGTTGAATATTCTATAGCTTGATACCACCTTATAATAATTGCTTGAGTTTTCTCAAGAATCAAGTGAAATTGACAATTCTTATGATGTCACATGTTGCAAGATTTCCAGAATTTCAGAGTTGATGGCTTAACAAGTTCTATAAACCGTTTGTGTCATCTAGACACCAGAAATGTAGCCTTAAAGTAATTTTCCTTAAAGATCTTGGACATTCTGATCCATGGGCTGGATTAATGTGGGGATGGGTGACAAATAGTGTTCATAACACTTGCGAAGGTCAGGCAAGTGTGCACCATGCCCTGGAGCATTTATCATCATTAGAAAACGGTCTTTTAAAGCAAAAGTTTTTAATGGCGGTAAGCTTTCACTACATTGCTAGAAATGACAATAAACAAATTGGTGATATAGAAGTCGCCAATGGCCTGTTTAATGCACAGTGAATTAGTATGGGGCTGTTGAAGAAATTTTTAATGCTTTGGATTCATTGTGTGGTAAGCTGGTAATGGCTTGTTCTTAAATCCTCGGCAACAAAGAAAGGGAGGTTTTCCATTAGGGTGGCAAGACAGATATTGGCAGAATTTATATCCAAATTGGAATAAGACAATTAGAAGTTGAGATAATTTAAACTAATCATAAAATGAAGGTATGGATATTTACACTCTGCATTCTACATACAGATGCTGAGTTCATCATAAAAGGTTGGATTTTTATTTGTGCAGCTTGAATAGTAAGAATATGTACTGTAAGAATAGTATATGAACTTGGATTCATTATAGTGTTCATTTAATATTTCCTGCAAAAATGGATCTTAAATTTTCTATTAATTGACCTATTTTATAAAGATCTTAATTTTGAGTGATAAATCACAATTCATGCACTATGATAGGTATTGGTACATATTTTATTATTAATAACATTAGTGTCTGGCTTGGATAATTTAGTATACGGAGCTAGGCAAGTTAACGAACAAATCCACAAGGGTCTCGATGAAGCTTCGTACCTACACATGGGATATTCCCAGATGTGCCTTAGTCAGTTTACCACAACATGGTCAAAAGAATTGCAACCTGGAGTGCTACCGCCCTTATGAGGATCCCAAAGCTTCTCTGAAAGCTAACCGAGGTTTCACACAATTCCCCCCCCATGCACTCAGGCTGTCAACCAGATCTTTTACCTCTACGCCCCTACCTCATTACACACAAATCGCAAAAACGTGATACATAAAAATGAACAAATCCACAAGAGCCTTGATGAGCCTTGTGTGTATTGTAGTGGTAGAACATCTGGTTTAGAGACAGTGCATGGGGGAATTGTGAAACCCTGGGAAGGCTTCGGAGAAGCTTTTGGATCCTCGTGAGAGCAGTAGCACTACAGGTTGCAATTTTTTTGATCATGTCGTGGTACAGTTGACTAAGTGCATCTGGGTACATCCCATGCGTAGGTTTGAACCCTCAAGGCCCTTGTGGATTTGTTCATTTGAGGTACATCATGTTATTGTGATTCCTGTGTGTAATGTAAGTTAATTATTGCTGGATATTAATGCCGGTTTGTTAAATTTCAGGATCTTGGAGACTGGGAGAAGCTTAAGGATGAGGAACGCCACTTCATTTCTCATGTCCTTGCATTTTTTGCTGCTTCTGACGGTATCGTTAATGAAAACCTTGTAGAACGTTTCTGCCAAGAAGTACAAGTACCAGAGGCAAGGTGCTTTTATGGCTTTCAGATTGCCATTGAAAATATTCATAGTGAGATGTATAGTCTGCTTATAAACACATACATAAAAGATTCACAAGAGCAGAGCAGATTATTTAATGCTATTGAAACATTGCCATGTGTTAAGAAGAAGGCTGATTGGGCTTTAAGGTGGATTGCCAATGACACTGCTACATATGCAGAACGTATTATTGCCTTTGCAGCAGTAGAGGGCATTTTCTTTAGTGGCTCATTTGCTGCAATCTTTTGGATGAAGAAGCGTGGTTTAATGCCAGGCCTGACCTTCAGTAACGAACTTATCTCTAGGGATGAGGGATTACACACTGATTTTGCTTGCTTGATGTTTAAGCATTTGGTGAACAAGCCAGATCAGGAACACATACAGTCTATCATTGACAATGCTGTGCAGATTGAGCAAGAATTCCTGACCGATGCCCTTCCAGTGAACCTTATTGGCATGAACTGTGAACTAATGCGACAGTACATCGAATTTGTTGCTGACCGGCTTCTCCATGAGCTTGGCTGCAAGAAACTTTACAATGTCGAAAACCCATTTGACTTCATGGAAAATATCTCTTTAGAAGGAAAAACTAATTTCTTTGAGAAGAGAGTAGGTGAATACCAAAAATGTGGTGTAATGAACTCTACAGAACAGCGTAGCTTCACATTGGATGCAGATTTTTAATATAAGGATCTACTTTTGCGAAGAATGAAAGTATTGTAGAAGCTTTTATACTGTACTTTGTTTTTATACTTCTTATTTGGTTAAAATGAAATTTAAGTCAGTGTACACAATTGACAATCGTAATGAAATGTATATTTTGTATATCTCTAGTTTTTACTTCATACAATAAATATTTATGCTTTTTTTATTGGATCATTTATTTGATATCATCAATTTATGTACAATGTAGGCTTCTTAGTCAGATTTTTTTAAGGCAGTAAATTAATTGGGGTCAAAACTTGCAAACAAAAAAGTTATTAAATACTATAGAATTAAATTATTTTAGTTATCTAGAACAATGGGAGGATTCTATTACTGTATTGCATATAGCTAGGCACACATTTTTGCTTTGGTAGTTAGCCAGTTGCCAAAATGTTTTTGGTAATTTTGCACGTTTTGAATAATAAGTGAACATTTATCTGGTAATCACATAATTGTACCTCTTGTTTGGTAGTTTGTTGAGGCTACATAGCCTTCCCTTCTTGGTGCCTTCTTCTGATGCTGTACTTGGTAGTTTGTTCTTGAGGGAGGGACTTCCAGAGGAGCTTACTGGAGTTTATGCAATTTTTAAACTTTAAAATACAGTACACACAGATGAATGACTTCTCCCTTCTGTTGCCGAGTGCATTAACTTCACTGCTTCATTAGAGGTGCACTCCTATCTGGAATTTTGTTTACAAACTTCAGACTGGACAGGAATCCCAGATTAGTGGTAAGTACTCTATTATGGATTCAATTTGGGAGTTGTAGTGGGTTATACATACCCTAAGGTAAGAACTTTAATTATGTCTATGATAAAGTGTTTAAAATGAGCCTTATATTCCTATCTTTCTTGAGGCATATAAAAAAATTACGATTATTTACAAATTTACGTGAAATAAGCATTGTTCTGAGAGAGTTGCTCCGTCGATTGATCTGTCCGGAGTCAAAGCTCGGCTATTATAAAAGTACACGTATCTTCGCTTTAAATTTAAATATGCCCATGGTAAGGTATTTAGAACGAAGCTTATATATCTGTCTTTCTTGTGACATATAAAACTCTTACGTTTATTAAGGAATCTGCGTGAAATAGGCATGGTTCTGAGATGAATGCTGCGGTTTTCGAGTTTGACGAGCGATGAAAACTGCCACTTTTATACAACTACAAATATCTTCGGTTTTACTTAAAATATTTGTCTGGTAGAGGTTTTACATATAGATCGCGTTTCTGTCTTTCTTCTGACTAATAAATAATTTTGGTTTAATCAGTTATCAAGATGTTTTCAACAATATTCTTTCAGCGTTCGTCTTTTCCAACTTGGGCGACCCTTTTGGAAGCGCGATACTTGGGTTAACCCATCCTATAGTTGGGTCTGTTTCCAACTGGGGTTCGAATAGTATTATGGACGAATGTTGGAGGGAGAGGTCGACCCTCCAACCCCCCTCTACCATTTGAGGGGAGGAGGGTCTCCCAAGGAGGACGGTAGTGGATTCTCACACCCATCCTGGGAGGGGGTGGGGGGGAATGCAGTAGTGAACCACACACCCATCCTAGGGGGGGGGGGAGGGGCGGTAGTGGACCCCATACTCATCCTGGGGGGCGGTAGTGGACCCCATAACCATCTTGCGAGCGGTAGTGGACCCCATACCACTCCTGAGAGGTGGTAGTGGATCGCATACCCATCCTGGGGGCAGTAGTGGACCCCATAACCAACCTGGGGGCGGTAGTGGACCCCATAACCATCCTGGGGGCGGTAGTGGACTCATACACATCCGGAAGCGAGCGGTAGTGGGCCCTACACCCGTCCTGGAGACGGTAGTGGATCCCACACCCGTCCTGGAGACGGTAGTGGACCCCACACCCGTCCTGAGGGACGGTTGTGGACCCCACACCCGTCCTGGGAACGGTAGTGGACCCCACACCCGTCCTGGGGGAAGTAGTGGGCCCCATAACTATCCTGGGGTTGGTAGTGGACCCCATAACTATCCTGGGGTTGGTAGTGGACCCCATAACTATCCTGGGGGCGGTAGTGAACCCCTCACCCGTCCTGGAGGTGGTAGTGGATCCCTCACCCGTCCTGGGGTGGTTAGTGGATACCACACCCGTCTTGGGGGTGGTAGTGGATCCCACACCCGTACTGGGGGGGTTGTAGTGGACCCCATACCCGTCTTGGGGCAGTACTGGACCCCGCACCCGTCCTGGGGCGGTAGTGGAGCCTATACCCATCCTGGGGGCGGTAGTGGACCCCACATCTGTCCAGGGGGTAGTAGTGGACCCCACACCCGTTCTGGGGGCGGTAGTGGACCCCATATCCGTCCTGGGGGCGGTAGTCGACCCCAAACCCATCCTGGGGGGTGGTAGTGGACCCCACACACCCGTCCTGAGGCGATAGTGAACCCTATAACTATCCTAGAGGCGGTAGTGGACCCCATACCCGTCCTGGGGGCGGTAGTAGACCCCATGAATATCTTGGAGGGGGGGGGGTAGTGAACCCCATAACCATCCTGGGGGCGGTAGACCCCATACTCGTTCTTGGGGCGGTAGTGGGCCCCACTCCCGTCCAGGGACATGTAGTGAACCCTATAACTATCCTAGAGGCGGTAGTCGACCCCACACCCGTCCTGGGTGTGGTAGTGGACCCCACATTCGTCCTGGGAGGCGGCAGCGGGCCCCACACCCGTCCTGGGGCCTGTAGTGAACCCTATAACTATCCTAGAAACGGTAGTGGACCCCATACCCGTCCTGGGGTCGGTAGTGGACCCCACACCCGTTCTGGGGGCAGTAGTGGGCCCCATAACTATCCTGGGGGGTGGTAGTAGACCCCATAACTATCTTGGGGGGCGGTAGTGGGCCCCACACCCGTCCTGAGGCGGTAGTGGACCCCACTCCCGTCCTGGGGGGTGCTAGTGGATCCCACACCCGTCTTGGGGACGGCAGTGGACCCTCATACCCATCCTGGGGGCAGTAGTGAACCTCGCACCCGTCCTGGGGGGTGATAGTGGGCCCCACACCCGTCCTGGGGGGTGATAGTGGACCCCATAACCATCATGGGGGCGGCAGTGTACCTCATACCCGTCCTGGGGCCGGTAGTGGACCCCATACCTGTCCTGGGGGCAGTAGTGGACCCCACACCCGTCCTGGGGGGGGGGGGGTAGAGAGCCCCACACCCGTCCTGGGGGGGGGGTAGAGAGCCCCACACCCGTCCTGGGGGGGGGGGTAGAGAGCCCCACACCCGTCCTGAGGACGCTAGTGGACCCCACACCAGCCCTGGGGGCGGCAGCAGGCCCCACACCCTTCCTGGGGGCGGTAGTGGACCCCATAACTATCCTGGGAGTGGTAGTGGACCCAATAAATATCCAGGGGGGCGGTAGTGGACCCTATACTCGTCCTGGGGGCGGTAGTGGGCCCCACACCCGTCCTGGGGGCGGTAGTGGGCCCCATAACTATCCTGGGGGTGGTAGTGGACCCCATAACTATCCTGGGGGCGGTAGTGGGCCCCACACCCGTCCTGGGGCGGTAGTGGACCCCACTCCCGTCCTGGGGGTGCTAGTGGACCCCACACCCGCCCTGGGGGCGGCAGCAGGCCCCACACCCTTCCTGGGGGCGGTAGTGGGCCCCACACCCGTCCTGGGGCGGTAGTGGACCCCACACCCGTTCTGGGAGCGGTAGTGGGCCCCACACCAGTCCTGAGGGCGGTAGTGGGCCCCATAACTATCCTGGGGGGTGGTAGTGGACCCCAAAACTATCCTGGGGGCGGTAGTGGGCCCCACACCCGTCCTGGGGCGGTAGTGGACCCCACTCCCGTCCTGGGGGGTGCTAGTGGATTCCACACCCGTCTTGGGGACGGTAGTGGACCCTCATACCCATCCTGGGGGCAGTAGTGAACCTCGCACCCGTCCTGGGGGGTGATAGTGGGCTCCACACCCACTATTCAAAATTCGCACGATTTTTGGCCGCTAGCGGCGAAATTTCCACGATTTTTTGCCATTAGCGGCAAAATTCGCACGATTTTTGGCCGCTAGCGGCGAAATTCGCACGATTTTTGGCCGGTAGCGGCGAAAATCGCCCGATTTTTGCCCGCCAGTTGCGAAAATCGCACGGTTTTTGGCCGCTAGCGGCGAAAATCGCGCGGTTTTTGGCCGCTAGCGGCGAAAATAGCCCGATTTTTGGCCGCTAGCAGCAAAAATTGCGCGGTTTTTGGCCGCTAGCGGTGAAAATCGCGCGATATTTGGCTGGTAGCGGCAAAAATCGCGCGATTTTTGCCCGCCAGCTGCGAAAATCGCACGGTTTTTGGCCGGTAGCGGCGAAAATCGCGCGATTTTTGGCCGCTAGTGGCGAAAATCTCCCAATTTTTGGCCGCTAGCGGTGAAAATAGCCACTTTTTTGGCCGCTAGCGGCGAAAATAGCCACTTTTTTGGCGGCTAGCGGCGAAAATCGGTCGATTTTTGGCCGCTAGCCGCAAAAATCGCGCGGTTTTTGGCAGGTAGCGGCGAAAATCGACCGATTTTTTGCCGGTAGCGGCGAAATTCGCACGATTTTTGGCCACTAGCGGCGAAATTCGCACGATTTTTGGCCGCTAGCGGCGAAATTCGTATGATTTTTGGCCGCTAGGGGCGAAAATCGCCGATTTATGGCCGCTAGCGGCGAAAAGAGCCCGATTTTTGTCCGCTAGCGGCGAAAATCGGGCGATTTTTGACCACTAGCGGCAAAAATTGCCCGATTTCCCGCCTCTAGCGGCGAAAATTGCCCTATTTTTGCCCGCTAGCGGCGAAATTCGCCCGATTTTTGGCCGCTACCGGCGAAAATCGCGCGATTTTTGGCCACTAGCTGCGAAAATCGCCCGAATTTTGCCCGCTAGAGGCGAAATTCGCCCGATTTTTGCCCACTAGCGGCGAAAATCGCACGAATTTTGCCCGCTAGAGGCGAAATTCGCCCGATTTTTGCCCTTCGGCGAAAATCGCACGAATTTTGCCCGTTAGCGGCGAAATTCGCCCGATTTTTGGCCGCTAACTGCAAAAATCGCGCGATTTTTGGCCGCTAGCTGCGAGAATCGCGCGATTTTTGGCCGCTAGCTGCGAGAATCGCGCGATTTTTGGCCGCTAGCTGCGAGAATCGCGCGATTTTTGGCCGCTAGCTGCGAGAATCGCGCGATTTTTGGCCGCTAGCTGCGAGAATCGCGCGATTTTTGCCCGCTAGCGGCGAAATTTGCTCGATTTTTGTCCGCTAGCGGCGAAATTCGCCCGATTTTTTACCTCTAGCAGCGAAAATTGCCCGATTTTTGGCTACTAGGAGCGAAAATAGCCCCATTTTTGGCCGCTAGCGGCGTAAATCACCCGATTTTCGCCCGCTAGCGGCGAAAATCGAAAATCCAAATAGATACTTTTTCTATCCTTATGAAAATTACTGTCTTCCACATTTGTTTGACTTGATTTTTGCAAATTTGAACATATTATACCTATTTGGATGGGTACTACCTATTCAAATAGGTCCTACCTATTCAAATAGGTACTTTATACCTATTTAAATAGGTACTTTTTCTATCCTTATGAAAATTACTGTCTTCCACATTTGTTTGACTTGATTTCTGCAAATTTGAACATATACCTATTTGGATGGGTACTACCTATTCAAATAGGTACTACCAATTCAAATAGGTCCTACCTATTCAAATAGGTACTTTATACCTATTCAAATAGGTACTTTTTCTATCCTTATGAAAATTACTGTCTTCCACATTTGTTTGACTTGATTTTTGCAAATTTGAACATATTATACCTATTTGGATGGGTACTACCTATTCAAATAGGTCCTACCTATTCAAATAGGTCCTACCTATTCAAATAGGTACTTTATACCTATTTAAATAGGTACTTTTTCTATCCTTATGAAAATTACTGTCTTCCACATTTGTTTGACTTGATTTCTGCAAATTTGAACATATTATACCTATTTGGATGGGTACTACCTATTCAAATAGGTACTACCAATTCAAATAGGTCCTACCTATTCAAATAGGTACTTTATACCTATTCAAATAGGTACTTTTTCTATCCTTATGAAAATTACTGTCTTCCACATTTGTTTGACTTGATTTTTGCAAATTTGAACATATTATACCTATTTGGATGGGTACTACCTATTCAAATAGGTCCTACCTATTCAAATAGGTACTTTATACCTATTTAAATAGGTACTTTTTCTATCCTTATGAAAATTACTGTCGTCCACATTTGTTTGACTTGATTTTGGGGGGGCGGCAGTGGACCCCATACCCGTCCTGGGGGCGGTAGTGGACCCCATACCCGTCCTGGGGGCGGTAGTGGACCCCATACCCGTCCTGGGGGCGGTAGTGGACCCCATACCCATGCTGGGGGCAGAAGTGGGCCCCATACCTGTGCTGGGGGCAGTAGTGGACCCCCATACCCGTCCTGTGGGGTGGTAGTGGACCCCCATACCCGTCCTGGGGGGTGGTAGTGGACCCCATACCCGTCCTGGGGGCGGTAGTGGACCCCATACCCATCCTGGGGGGCCGTAGTAAACCCCCTTACCCGTCCAGGAGGCGGTAGTGGACCCTATACCTGTCCTGGGGGTGCTAGTGGACCCCATACCCATCCTGGGGGGCGACAGTGGACCCCATACCCATGCTGGGGGCGAAAGTGGACCCTATACCAGTCCTGGGGGCGGCAGTGGACCCTATACTTGTCCTGGGGGCGGTAGTAGACCCCATACCCGTCCGGGGGGTGGTAGTGGACCCTATACCCGTCCTGGGGGGCGGTAGTGGACCCTATACTCGTTCTGGGGGCGGTAGTGGGCCCCACACCCGTCCTGGGGCGATAGTAAACCCCACACCCGTCCTGGGGGGTGCTAGTGGATCCCACACCCGTCTTGGGGACGGTAGTGGATCCCATACCCGTCCTGGGGGGGTGGTAGTGGACCCCATACCCGGCCTGGGGGCGGTAGTGGACCCCATAACCTTCTTGGGGGGGCGGTAGTGGACCCCCATACCCATCCTGGGGGGCGGCAGTAGACCCCATACCCGTCCTGGGGGGTGGTAGTGGGCCCCACACCCGTCTTGGGGGGCAGTAGTCTACCCCATACCCGTCCTGGGGGCGGTAATGGACTCCATAACCATCCTGGGGGGCGGTAGTGGACCCTATACCTGTCCTGGGGGTGGTTGTGGACACCATACCCGTCCTGGGGGGCGGTAGTGGACCCTATACTCGTTCTGGGGGCGGTTGTGGGCCCCACACCCGTCCTGGGGGGTGCTAGTGGATCCCACGCCCGTCTTTGGGACGGTAGTGGTCCCCATACCCGCCCTGGGGGGCGGCAGCAGGCCCCACACCCTTCTTGGGGGCAGTAGTGGACCCCATAACTATCCTGGGGGGCGGTAGTGGACCCTATACCCGTCCTGGGGGGCGGTAGTGGGGCCCACACCCGTCCTGGGGGCGGTAGTGGGGCCCACACCCGTCCTGGGGGCGGTAGAGGGCCCCATAACTATCCTGGGGGTGGTAGTGGGCCACACACCCATCTTGGGGCGGTAGTGGACCCTATACCCGTCCTGGGGGGCGGTAGTGGGGCCCACACCCGTCCTGGGGGCGGTAGTGGGGCCCACACCCGTCCTGGGGGCGGTAGTGGGGCCCACACCCGTCCTGGGGGTGGTAGTGGGCCCCACACCCGTCCTGGGGGCGGTAGTGGGGCGCCCACCTGTCCTGGGGGCGGTAGCGAAAGTTGCTAGTGTCTAACGAAGGCTTAATGAACTGCTATGTAACAGTAAAAGAATAAAAATTGTGCAATCATCTCATAAAACTGACATTCCTAATGTTAACTTCCTCTCGTCCTCAGGTCGGACCAACTACAGCCAGACGAGAAGGTAACGAGGACAATCCTCTACTGAACTTTAACAACGACGGAACAAAGCGATATACTGTACCCAATCATCACTGTTCATCTGATCTAAGAACTCGCTTTCTTAATCCCTCGCGCCAATTCGTGACAAACTTGTAATTTCAATAATAAATTGCTACTTGAAACTCTTGCATTTTATCTTACCTTCCTTATGATTTGTACTGCCGGATACAATGTTCTCGCGGCCCGGTCTTTGACTAGGCTGTTAAGTAATCAAAATGACTAGGCTGTTAGATGCTGCTGCTGGTATCCTGAATCCACAAACCCGGGTAAACGGGTATAGTTTGGAATTGTTCAGAGACTTCCCAGAATCTACCTCTAAACTAGATACTCGGCTCTCCCCATACACCACCTTCCTCTTATCTTGCATTTAGTAATGCCCCTGAAGCTTATTATGGGTGGTAAACACTTGGTTAAGTAATTATCAAAAAGGCGGCACCAAACCGGGAAGGCTATGTAGCACCATCAAATGTTCGGAATAACTGTTAAGTCTTACCGAGTTAAGTCTGAGCTAAAATCGGCAGGATCAGATTGAAAAAGTGTTCCATTAATTTGAGCTACAAGAGATCTTTGAAAAACCCAATTGCTGGGACTAATGGAGGCAGCAATTACGGAACGCAGAAGAGCAGAGGGAAGGGTTCAACCAACAACTTCTCCCGGTCAGGTGACAGCCCGAGCATGTGTACTCTTGCTCCAAGATGTTTTCAACACGAGGGTCACCGCCCTTCAGGGAGTAGGGGACAAGTAAGTAAGTAAGTAATTATCAAAAGAAGGCACCAAACCGGGAAGGAGTAGGGGACAAACTGAAGCCAGTGAGAGGTCTAATCTACAATTCATGAGGCTGACGTTACTCATTGCCAGGTCAAGTGTGTGACAGATTCTCGCATCTTTGCCGTTTTTAAATTAAAAAAAATCCCCTTTAACCAATTAAAGATAAATTGCTAATATAAAAATCTTAGTTCAGATGGAATAACCTAAAAGACCATGCGTGCATTAGTTAAAATTTTTAATAAACTAAAAGGTACACTTCTGACAATTCTAATAAATTATTTAACAGTCTTGCTAGAATTACATTGAGTTTCCAGGGTGTGGAAACTACCACCCTGTCTTAGTTTCTTGGTAGACGGTAGTTTCTTTGTAATAATTTTTACCATCCCATTCCAAGGGCTATGTAGTCTTAATGGCTTTGCGCTTTCTCCTGATAACTCCATCCTTCCATTATCTTCCTAAAACTAGGAAGGTAATTAAATCTGTACTATATGAATATGTACATGAAAATTAGCTTATTTTTCTACTATACTGGGTCGTAATATAGAATGTAGTTCTGTGGAGAGAGAAATAAGCAACTAAAGTCATTTAGTTGCGTTGTCAGAATGGGTTTTAATACGAAAAACTTGCAAAAATGTATTTCTGGAACACCGGAGGGTCAACCCAGCGTGCAAGTTTCTATATGCACACTCACTGCCAAACAAAAATAAAAGACTGACCTGTCTTATCTTTTATACCTAGCAAAGCCCAAAAATAATGCCACAACTAGGTTTCACATCCACCTACACTGGTATGTACTGGTATACATATAATTTCACTTTTAACACTCCACCCCTGCATTGTTCAAATGTCACAAAATTGACATACAAGTCACAGGACATTAATAGTTTTCCTTATTCGAAGTGTATTAATTTTTCCATAATATTTACCCTAACGACACTTTTGGTCCCTGGTGGCAAGTTGTGTAGACAAAGCATTAATAAGACTTAGCCAAGATATTCAACAAGATTATGAACTAATTAAATTTTTTACAACTTCACAATTTAGGAAACTTTGCCATTTTCCGACAAAAAATATCAAAAGGCTGGCGTCAGATGACAGACCTGTGACAGGTAACGTCGTGCCACTATGCCGTCGTTATAGATGTTCTTCGGTACGCCAAGTCCTCGTGGTCTGTTGTGGTCGCCCGAGCCTGGGGACGGAAGGGGAGAGTTATTAGAACTTAAATCTTTACAAATTAACTTGCAGACCTCTACAGCCGTTTAAGCCCTTATGAGTCGCATGCACTTTAAAAATCTACGAAACGCCGTATGTTATGACAATTTGAGCTGTATGACAATGAATAAATTAAAGCCATACTAACCTAGTGTGAAGTCAGTGGGTGTTGTAGGACAAAATGTACCAGGATGACTGCCTCGCCCGAGGACACTTGTCCAGATGAAATTTATTCCACCTAAGAAAAAACCATTTAATATTAGAGAAGTGCCTGGCCATTTTGTAGGTCTTAGTCCAGCAGGACCATATTTAATGCACATGTATTTCAATCTTTAATTTTACAGAACAGTACTCTAGTTTATTTAAAAGCTTAAAAAAAAGCTACATTTAACTATTAACATTGTCCTAAGTAACTTTTAATCGCAGTGAACGTGCATGGCTATACTGTACATTACCGAGCTGCTAGAGCAATCCACTGGGGGCAAGTGTCCGGAGACTAGCATCTGAACTTTACTTATTTACTTAAAGGCGCGTTTGTCAAGCTTCTGACTGCCTTGTGTAGACCCCCGGGGCACTCGTGTTAAAAAAATAAAGACTAACACCATGGATGGACATAGTAAAGATTAACATGTCCTGGTTTGTAGAAAATGTCACTAGTTACTCATTCCTAGAATTGCATCCCTAGCCTGCTGAATTTAAGTAGCCATGTTATTAAATTTCAAGTTTAGTTCCGAATTTGTAGTTACGTTTTAAGAGCCAATAACCCCATTGTACACTTACAGAAATTAGTAATACATACCGAATTATTAGAGTTGTAGAGTAGACGTTATGGGCTAGCCTCATGATACAAGAGCGTCACAGGCCAGTTTGTCTCTGCTATAGTGCCACACGCAGCATTATGCACACTTAACCCAACCTTCGATCCGTCAGGGCAAATCTGAAATAAGTTGACCCATACACTTTACAAGTTCTAGTACGAGAAACTAGGGAAAAGTAAGCGAGACGGAACACTGGTAGAGGGGCAGGGGGAAGAAAGGGGGTGGTGACGCAAGAGGCAGGGGGGGGGAGGAAAGAGTTGGGTGGGGACGCCACAAGGGGGGTGGTGGGGACGCAACAAGGGGGTGGTGGGGAAAGAGGGTGGGGACGCAACAAGGGGGTGGTGGGGAAAGAGGGTGGGGACGCCACAAGGAGGGGGGGGGTGGGGACGCCACAAGGAGGGGGGGGTTGGGGACGCAACAAGGGGGTGGTGGGGAAACAGGGTGGGGACGCCACAAGGGGGGGGGGGGTGGGGACGCAACAAGGGGGTGGTGGGGAAAGAGGGTGGGGACGCAACAAGGGGGTGGTGGGGAAGGAGGAGGGAGGGGGACGCAACAAGAGGCAGGGGGGGGGGGGGGGGGACGCAGGGAGGGGGACGCATCAAGGGGCAGGGGGAGAGGGGGGATCCGCCACATACAGCTGAACTGCAAGAGACGAACCTGGAACTGTATACCAAAAGTGACGTAAAACACACTGAAGTGCTTTTTGTCTCATCGTCCCTTTTATATCCAGCAGGCAACCCACCCCCGGCCGCTGATTGGTTGACATTCACCCTAAAACTCACCCCATTGGTTAACATTTTGCGAGTCTGAAGTGTCAATTATCAATGGCCAACAGCCACTCCTTCACTTCCCCCAAAATACGAACGAGTCTCTAATGAACCAATAATGATCCCCAGCTTGAATGTTTTTAAGTTGTTAATTTCAAAATCTAATTCACAAATCAAATACAACATTCTATTGTAACTGTTGCAACAGAACAATAGGTACAACAGAGCAACATTTGCAATCTTATCTTGGAAGCAAATCAACAAATGCAATAAATCTTCAAATAGACAATGTTAAAATCAGCACTGAAAATGATGGATAGTTCCTTGCCCTATACTTAGACAAGAGACTCAACTTCAGCCCCCCACGTACAACACATAACCAAAAAAAGTCTCAAAAACTGTTGGAATACTCTCTGAGCAAGTTACAGTCTTGATGAGCTAGTTACAAAACTCAATATACGTCGTCACATCATCAATGAGTTCGAGATCCCTGAGCCCATTATCTGCCTCTGTAACTTTTTCCACTAACGCCCACAAGATGGTGTGGGGGGTGCATAATAAATGAACTAAAGCTAACTAGCTACTCTCTAAAATCAGATATTATGTACGTAACTCTGCTCTCCTCTCACTATACTACGCACTAATCTATCCCTATCTTACGTATGTTATTTGTGCTTCGGGGTTCAACCACTGCAAACTACATCAAGTTTATCATCACCCAGCAAAAATCTGTTATCAGAACAATAACAAACTTTGCTTTCAGATAACACTCAGCCCCCTTTTAAAATCTGTAAACATGCTATATATATGTAATAGAACCCATAATCACCACACCAGAAATAAATATATCTCTGATATCTCCAGAGTCAAACTTAATCTGCGTAAAAACACTAGTCTATGGAACTCACTCCCTAACGAGTTGAAAAGCTGTCCAACTTTTGCCTTATTCAAAAATAAAACCAAAAAGTACCTAATTTCATCTTCAGAGTTTCCTACCTAGTGCTTTAGTGACTTTAGTATGTACTACCTCTATCTATAAATCCAACATTATGTTTGTAAATCATCTATGCATGTACTTTTCCTGAATAAAAAAAAATGAATTAGAATTAGAATTAGAATTTAAACTCACACTGTTATCTAGTGCTACCCAATCCCCCAATATATGTGCCCCAGACAGCACTCGGTACCCTTACTTAGATCTTTGAATATGTTAGATATTAGGTCACTGCACATCCTCTCATGTGTACTGTATATATTTAAAACTGTAATGTCAATCCTGACCTTAAATGCTTCCTAGGAGGTTGTAACAGAAGCCATGGGCACCACACCAGAAACAAATACCTATTTGATATTCCAAGAGTACGCCTACTACTACTACTACTACTACCAACTACCAGGTTGGTAGTAGTAGTACTCTCCATAAACATTGTGTACTCTATATACATCCTGTTTGCAGTAGTGTACCCTATAGACATTCCCCCATTACATCGTTTTCTATTAACGTTCCGTCAATCCATTCTCTAAGATTTTTCAAAGCTTACACTATTGTATATAATGTTTAGCGAAAGCATCATTATTATATGTAAGAACTTATGAGTACTTATGATAATTTACTGAGAAGCGCCAAGATTTCTCCTAAGTGCTAACCTTTAACAGGAAGCACTGTAGAATAGTGGTTTAAATAATGGTTTGAAACACTAGTCGACACAGAATGGAGACTTATTATAACTTTTTTTTTGTAACTATTTTCAGTAGAGTAAACTATTTTTAGTCAAGAAAGCATTGATCTGTCAACAGCTATCATCTTCGCTGACGACTTTACTACAATCTTAATTATTTAGCCTTAAAACACATCCAAAATACTAAAATAAGGAGCGATAGGTGATAGCTATGTATACCATAGGGGAACTATCAATCTTAATTAATAATTTTAATAATAATAATTATTATTATTATTCATTATTTAACGTTGCCTCAAGTCAACTAGATTTTCTTTATTTTCTCGGAATATTGCCGCTCTCAGGCTGCTCAGAGGCAATCATAGATGATAATTAATTCCCTTCTTACGAGCAAATGATTTAGCTAAATTTGCAGCACTCTGTGCTCAGTCCCACAAGGTCTCCGTGCCGTCCTCTGTGCTCAGTCCCACAAGGTCTCCGGACCCAGTTCCACAAGTTTTTGTGCTCAGTCCCACAAGGTCTCCATGTCGTTTTCTGTACTCAGTCCCACGAGGTCTCGTGTCGTCCTGTGCTCAGTCCCACAAGGTCTCTGTGCCGTTGTCTATGCTCAGTCCCACAAGGTCTTCGTGCCATCCTCTGTATTCAGTCCAACAAGGTCTCAGTGCCATCCTCTGCCCAACCATTTCTGTCCCGCCCGGGATTCGAACCTGGAATTCTCGATTGTGTCAAGAATGAACCCTTCTGTACTATACCTGGATCCTAGCTCCGCACAGGGTGCATGTGGTGGCACTGAGTAAATGTGGGGGTAAAGAGAACATTCAGGGTATATATTTATTTATATACAAGAAGGTACATTAGATTTATGAGAGTACAGTATATAGCATTGATGTTATTACATTCTTGTAAAGCCACTAACACATACAGCATTCGCAGAGGAATTGACAGGGTAGATAAAGAGAAACTGTTTAGCATTGGTGGGACACAGATGGAAACTTAATACACAAATGAGCAACAGGGATGTTAGAAATAACCTTTTCAATGTCAAGAGTAGTTAACAGATGGGATGCATTAGGCAGTGATGTGGTGGAGGCAGACTCCATACAAAGTTTCAAATGTAGACATGACAAGAGCCCAGTAGGCTCAGGAATCTGTACACCAGTTGATTGGCAGTAGGCAGGACCAAAGAGGCAGAGCTGAACCCCCCACAAGCACAACTAGGTGAGGACACCAGAAGTAGGAATGGAAAATTACAATTATTGTTCAAAATTTGAGTAAACAAACTATTCTGCTGTCCCCGGCGATGGGACGGGTACTATGGTAAGTTAGGAAGGGATGGTGCCTGTAGCTAATAATTGTAAATCTACCACAGGGAAACTGAACATTAGCAGCATAGGAACCATGAGCATTATGTGACATAAGTACCGAGGTATCCCAAGGACAGGTCGAGATGTGGTATTGTTGGATTGTTTCAAGTGTAGGTTAAACACTGAACACTTAAGAACAGATTTTACATTTAATCATTAAATTGCATACACACCTAGTAGAGTTTAGAGGAAAACAAAAGTAAATACCATTAGACATTTTTAACCATATGCCATTTTTTTCCCTGCTGCCCATCCAGGTACTCCCTGGCAACCAATTATGATGGGTTAGATTCCCTCTTGGATTAGAAACTGTTAAAAATATCCAAGATGTATAGTGAAGTCTCACCTAAAGAATGATGAATACCACACAAAATTGAATTATGTTCATTTATGGCAGCAACAGTCAATTTTAAGGAGATTATAATTATTTACAGCAACTGTTTTGAATAATGTTTAAAAAGGAGTGCAGCAATTAAATACATTGTAACTTGAGAAGGTATATATTGGTCCTTTTTACAAACTTTTAAATGCAACAAAATTGCCTTAGTAAATGCTGAATTACAATTCTCCGCTTTTCAAATGTATATACAGTACAGCATAAAATATAATTACAGAATGGGGGGGTGCAAGGACAAATCATCCCAAAATCTCATTCAATGAAAAGCCGAAATGTGTGTAGACACTCAAACTAAACAAGACTATATTAGAAAATTACTTCTAGAATATGTAAGATTCAAAGAAAGTCTTGAAAAATTATATATACTGTACTGCACAAACACATCCGGTACAGTTTTTTTTTGTAATAACGAGCTTTAATGTTTGCCTTACAACTAAAGATTACAACAACTCGCTAAACTTTTATAGGTTCGTGAGGAATAAACTTTCTCTTTACGATGTGGATGTTCTTGTTGGACAAGCAAATGATGTAGCTGTGGTCAGTGTACGTTACTGAAAGGAAAAAGAAAAATTACTCTTCAAATTTCAAGTACATTTTTACTTCATTGCAACATGAAGTTATTAATTGTAATACACCACATCATACTTGAATTTGGGAGATTTACAGCACTACAAAGCATATTATTAAGCCTAACTTATGGTATAAGAAATGAAGATAACATTCTGCAAGACAGCCAAAAAATTACCAAATTACACAGTAAACGTAATGTAAATTGTAAATGTAAATTACCAAATTACACAATTACACAGTAAAATGACCAAAAACGGTAATACTGTGACCAAAATTGTAAATTCATAGTTTCCTCATTTACTGTGATGATTGTTGCTAATTGACAGAGAGAAGAACAAAAATATAGTATTTCTATTCTAAAATATTTTTATCCCGGAACAGTAATTGCTAATTCAGCCACAAGGCTGCTACTTAACATACTTGATATCTTCTTGAAGGCATCTCCAGAATCACCAGGCCACAACTGTGCCTTGCTGGTACATGATAACAGACTCATCACAGTAGCACCCATCTGCTCAGCATTTTCTAGTTCACCTCCGGACTGGAAAACAATTTGTTTTTTAAGTGATAATGACAACTAAAGAAAATCTACTGTACATAATTGATTAGTCCTTGCTAAATAATAAATAAATTACCCTTGTCTTATTCCACGAGATGGTAAGGGAATAATTATTTATTATGACCAATCTTGGCAACATTGCTACAAGGGGTATTTCTAGGCAGGTTGTATAGCCCACTGTGTGGGTATGGGATCAATGAATGTGCAAATTACTTGAGGGTCCTAAACTACTGTACTCTGAGCCTTATTCAGTAGGTTAATCTCTGATTTTCTAATTTCCAATGACATTTAGCAGTTTGCTTCTATCCTGGCCATTAATATTGCCTTTAAAATAAAAACAATATTGTAAAATTACATTATTTTTCATTACACTAAAGTATTTTTATTTAAATTGTAATTAAAAATTAAAATTAATTGTTTAGTAGGATGCTCCTGTGGTATGTGCTACAAGGCATGGCAATTGTCACGGGAAAGTGCTAGGCCATTATGACTATATAGCACTTGGAAGGGATAGGAGGATAATGATTTGGGATTGGATGAAAGAAAGGAATGGTCCCCCCAACCACTTGAACAGTAGAGAATTTGGGTGTTCAAACTGGGGGGGGGGGAGGGCTTACTATGAGCAGAAGCATGCTCCACAGGAAGTGAAATAGCCCGAGACTCTGGAACCCACAAAGACCTACCTTGACCAACAGCAAGCATGACCTCAGCCATACCAGACTGCCTCCAAGCATGAGGAATAAAACCCTGAGTAACCAAAAGTTGGGAAATCAGATGGCAGCAAGTAGCTGCCATTGAAAGGAACTGTGCAACAGTATCCCCAGGAAAGAGGAGAGGCAAAAAAAGGGAAGGACAAAAAAGGTTAAGGACTAAGCTGTATCTAAAGAGTGGGCAAGGAGAGCCAGCCTATGTGCAAGGTGAGTTACGTAAAATGGCCGCACCAGCACCAAAAGGAAGGTTGCACAGCTTTGCCCAAGATTAAAGCCTCTGCACCTGGAACCAAACCAAGTGAGTCCATGTCAAATACAAATACAAATATTTATTCAGGTAAAGTACATACATACAAGGTGAAATACAAAAGTTGATGGATTTATAGATAGAGCTAGTACATGCAATGCCTAAAGCCACTATTACGCAAAGCGTTTCGGGCAAGAAAAACAATGTCCTCACACAGCTGATCAGAAAGGAGCTCCACAAGAGCACCCCCCCCACACACAAAAAAAATGCATGGCCATTATCATGTGCAAATACACCTGGGAATCTTTAGTGATAAGGGCAGCAGACATAACTGGCAGCTGAATGTGAAGCAGCCACTTACCAACATCCTTGGCAAGAGCAGGAGCAAACAAGCAGTCCTTTAGTGGGAAATAAGAAACACCTGAAGAATGTTTGACAGTTCATGCCATTCAAACATAGAGATAACATAACCTCTGCCAAGCCCCCAAGAAAAAATTGTATTGCTAGCCAGCCAGGATGAATTTGTAATTTTAGCCAAAAATGGTAATGCTGACCCAACTCAAAAAAGCAGGGTCCCTCATGGAAGCGAGGTTCAAATTCCACAGAAGGTACCGCATAACGGTCTTCACGAGTGACTGAAGGAGAGACTTTGGAAGAGGGAAAACTCTGGAAGATTAATCTGCAGAACCCAAAGTAAAACACAAACATATCCTGTGGGGAGCCAGGGTCAAATCAAACTTGTACTGATCAGGAGGATAAGAGACCCCTCTCATGTGAGCATACAATTCTTCTTGGAATTATAAAATACCAAGAAGAATTCATGGGCTTTGAAGGGTACAAAATTGGGTTGCCCCCAAGCCCCAGGAGCCAGCCATGAAAACTCCAGGACACAGCCAAAGACATCATACAATGTCTTGGAAGAAAGGTATTCTTTAAAGAGAATATACAGAGGAAGCATGCAATTGTGAAGGAGAAAACTCCATAACCTTGGCAGGACTAGATTGAATTTGCCAAGTTTGCCTTGCCAACTGAAACCCCAAAGATGTTTTGGAGCCTGAAGTGGGTGAGAACCATATCTGCCTGGTAAGGAAGAGGAGGCATGGCAGAGTCAAAGTGGAAATTCACCAATACCTCCAATTCCAGGTCCTTATACACCACATGGGGCAATCCCAGGGCTTCCATCAAAGAACAAAGTCACATATGCTGAAACCAGGCAAACCTAGCCAGGTACAGGTATTTAATTTAGCAGTAAATAGGTACCTGGGAGTTAGACAGTTGCTACGGGCTGTTTCCTAGGGTTGTATAACAAAAAGGAGGCCTGGTCAAGGATCGGGCCGCGAGAACGCTAAGCCCTGAAATCATGTCAAGATGAGCTCAAGATAGCCTATAATGTGGCAGCTGCTTGAAATGCCCCTGATACTGCAGAGACAGGATCAGAACCCATGGAGAACACACCTCCACAGAATTTTAGATCACAAGAGCCATCAATCCAACAGGCAGCATGGCAGAGGCAGAAAGAACGATCATTGCCACATAGCAAAGCAACAAACAGTTTTCAAACTCGCAATGGGAGTGTCTGTGCTCGATGGTCCATCCATTATGCATAATTGATCTCACCAGAGACCCACTTTGGAATACCAAGGCCTGCCTGTAGTAAGCCATACAGGTGCTCCCAGGTAGTGGAGATGCTCACTAAAGAAAATTGGGACTACATTCAGCCCCATTCCCTGTGCTGTATACTGTATTGATGCCTACAGTATGCTGTATAAACAAGTGTACAATCCCCAAGTGCACTGCACACAACCTAATGAATGCCCCCAACCAAGGGCCTAAACAGCAGTCAGAAAGCCCCTGAAATACCTAAGGTAAGGTAATCCCCATCCTGGCAGTCTAGCCTCAAAAGGGCGAACATACCAGAGAATGATAATGAACACCCAGGGAAGTGACTGCTGGGTACTTGCAGTTTGGAGCACAAAAAGCCAAGTCCACACAACAGAACCAGGCAGAAAACATGCACACAAGGCAAATATTATAATGGAACGTTCCACTAGCAAACAAGGCTTGCACAAAACGAGTCCTAAGATGATCAAAACTTAGCTTAGAAGCACTAGGACCTGTTGCAAGATGATGCAACAAAGGAGCACTACAACAGACATTTTTCTCTCCAAAACTGAGCCTTTACTACACACACAGTTCTCTCTTTACCAAGCAAATAACTGTCAAAAAGATTAAACAACCCCTGACTCACAAGTGGCAAACTTAAAGCCATTAACAAGAAACATGAATATGAAAAGCAAAACATAGGATTGGCCTAGTTTCAAAAGCAGTAATAAAGAAATACTCATCAATGGTTACCAGTACTGTATACTGTAATAAGAGCTAAATGTTCCCTTGATGAGAATAGATGCAAAAATAAATATGAAAATCACATGGAAAGCCATCTCTAACATCCTAGGATCTAAACAATGATCACATAAGCAGATAAAACTCTCCAATGAGGGTTACACACACTTGCTTAGAAACTCGGAAATGGCAACTGAATTTAATAGCTTCTTTTCATCAATTGATGCTAACCTTGCCAGAAAAATCCCTCAGGTCCAGGTACATGTTACTTCATACCTCACTGGCAACTATCCTAACTACTCCTTTTACCAGTCAGCCTGTCAGACATCATATCCATAATTCAATCACTTGGATCAGTTTCCAATTGGCCTCTTTATTGACTTTATTGACCTTTGATACTGTAAACCATAACTTCCTATTACTTAAACTCCATCACTATAGAATACGAGGCTTCGCTCTGAATTATATTCGATCATATCTTGATGACAGACACTAATATGTAGCCACCAATGACATAATATTCCCTACTCTACCACTAACTGTAGGAATGCCACAGGGCATCTTAGGACCTCTCCTATTTCTTAGAAACATTTGGCAAATCATTGATGTATATAACATTAAGCTTATACTATTTGCTGACAATACTACCTTCATCTATTCAGACCCTCACCCCCCCAAAACACACACACACACACACACACACTATATTTCCACAAAACTTACTGCAATGACGGCACCATCCTCACTCAGTATGAGATGACCAACCTCGTCTGGAATTCTCCCTATTCCATGCATGTTTAATCTGCAATATTTATTAAAATAAATAGTGTATATACATTTATACAGTATATACAAGAAGGTGCAATGGGTTGGGAAAGTACAGTACTGTACATATTTTGGTGGTTATGTCATATATACTATTCATCCTTGCAAAACCACTAATACACACACAGCATTTTGAGCACGTCTTAAAGCCAATTAATGCAGTGAATTTTAGCCATTCTTGAAAAAAAAAAAAATTTAGTGACAGGGGAATGATAAAATTTCAATACTAATGTTGCTAAAATGTAGAAGTTTGGGTATTTAATTTATACACTATAGTAATTTACCAGAAAAGTCATTCATCCACCTAAAAATGAGACTTGTTTGTAGATTCAAAATAAGGTTTTTCTTATTACTCCAGAAATTGGATGGCTCAAACCTGCATCCTAGGTAACCCTAGGGGCACACCTTAATTCATAGACCTCATTTGATATTTATTCACATTGTGATTTCATTGTGCACATCACAGGATTATTTGGTAGAGAATTCCATTACCAACACCAGAATGTATGCAGGTTACATGTAAAACCTGGATTGGTTACCAGCCCAGTGGCTCTGGCCAGATCCTAGGCAGTGTAACTTTCTGCATATTCGTGGTCCATGGGTTAAGGCGCACATCTGTGGTTACCCAGGATGCTGGTTCAATTCCTGTCTTGCTCGAAAGAAGGTCATAGTATTCCAAATATCCCATGCATCTGTATCCAGGTTACCTTAAGGAAAGTCTGGTGATTCCAATGTTAAAACCTCTGATGTAGAAACTGTAGAAAAAGTAGAAACAAAGCCAGAGAAAAAATTGTTCAGTAAAATAAAAATTGAAGATACAAGTAAGAACAACATTGTTTTTGATGTTAGAAGCTACACTAGTGTTTAGAAGGATTCTGTTTGTATGGTGGTAGAGGACAAAATGTGGCTTTCATGATACAGTATGTTTAAAATACTGTATATATCTATTGAGGTAACCAAGACAGTCAAGAGATAAGGCAATTTGAAAGTACAGTACAGTATTTGTTTGAAGATACAAGACAGGACATTACATTAATTTATATATCAGATAAATCCTTTGATTTAACATTTATGCCAGATACCTTTCATGAAAATATGCTCATCATAGGGGTTTTTAATGTTGGGCATCCAACTTTAACCTAAAGTGGAAAATCAAATATTAATGGTTGCTGATGCCACACATTTCTACTATGGGAGTCCTTTACTATTCATTTAAAGAGGGAGATTACATTATGTCCATTTGCTAAATACTGTACTGAGGACTGAGAATAACTTACACGTATCGAAGACTACAATACTGTATAGGCAGCATAACGCCTTAGTATATGTACTATACAAAGTTCACTTGCCAATAAAGTTGTGCCTTCAACAAGAAACATCTTTTGTCTTTAAATTCCACAATTCATTGGTAAAGTAAATAATTGTCAGAAGTTTAAAATAAAAAACAATAAAACAATGCTAGTAACTTGGATATCTAGTACATATTATCTAGATTTCTGAATAACTGCCCCCTTTTATGACAATTGGTTACTTCTCCAGCTGAGCCAGCAATGTGATTGACTAAACAATAAGAAAACCAAGAGGAGCCATGAGGAAGATTCAAACCTGCACACAGGGAACTCCCAAGCACATGCCATAAACAACTGAACTACGATATGCTACAAAAGTAACGTAACCTGGGATTCAACCGAATCATCTAGGATTCCCGAGGCATCCACTGATACCAAGTCCGGGCTTCACACATTACCCCCATACATTCTGGTGTGGTATAGGAATTTTACCTTCCAATGCTTCTCTTTAAATGCACAAATAGTTCACATTAACATGATGCATCGGTGATGCTCATCGATACATGACATTAAATGTGATTTATTTGTGCATTTGAAAATAAAGAATGTTGCCCTCTCTGACTGGCCAAATGAAAAAAAATACCAGTACTTTCTATTGAGAATTAGGAGAACCAGATCTAAATTACTAATAACTACATATGACCACCTTGGTGAATTATGCATAGGGGTCTTCTGACAGTTCTTTAAAACTTTCATTACACAGCCACTTAAGAAATACTTGACGCTTTGTGAATCTAGGTCTAGGAACTGCTTAAATCTTTGACTTTTATGGCAGTCGCTTACCACCAACTTCGGTCTTATTTCGTTGTAAAATTACTTTATTTATGAGTAAAATTGCGTTTTCTCAACATTCTGCATGCAGCACCACATTATAGTAAGCGAACATGTAATATTTATTCTTTACTTGCATGATTTAAAAGGAGGTTTTGGATAATTCTATGGACCATGTAAAACAATATCACATAAACTTTACGTATGGTACAGGCCTGTAATTTAAAAATCGATATTTTCACGTTTATGTTCAACACTAAACCAATACAGAAATTCCACCATATACAGTAAACAATTAATATTATCCTAATGATAGACGAATTGTATAAATAACATCATACAGTATAATGAAGCAGGAGCGAGGCTACATCCTTACCTAAAGCTTAATGTAAATTTTCACAATACAGTTACAATTTCCGACCCTAACGTCTTGCTGTTAACTGTAACAAGAACCAGAGGAACAGAAAAACCTCTGCGCAAGTGCAACTGAGGAAGTCTCCTACCAGTCCTCCGTCATCAAGGAGGGCGGAGCTGCCAGCCAATCGGCGCTCAGTTTAGGTTCTAGCTGCGCCACTGACAAATCATAATCGATGTTACATCAGGTTATTCCTCCTTCCGTTAACGACCGCTCGTATAAATGTTTACATTTGGATAGGCGAGCTTAATATAAAATTTAAATTTTATTATAATAATAATAATATCAACAATTCTTTATTTAGGTAAAAGTACATACATACAAAATGAGTTGTAAGCAGAATGTTGAATTTCTAGATAGAGCAAGTATATACTATGCCTAACGCCACTAATACGCACAGCGATTTGGGAAAGATGCGAGGAAAAAAAAACTTAAAAACTAAGACTTAAAACTAATTAAGGTCAAAAGCAAGACATAAAACTGAAGTAGAAAAAAGACTGACAATAATTACAATGGAACATCTGATAAATATTCTAACTAAATAAATGGGGCCTAACAGCTGAGTGGACAGCGCTCGGGGTTCGTAGTCCTAAGGGTCTGGGTTCGATCCCCGGCGGAGGAGGAAACAAATGGGCAGAGTTTCATTCACCTTGATGCCTCTGTTCACCTAGCAGTAAATAGGTACCTGCTGAGAGTTAGACAGCTGCTACAGGCTGCTTCCTGTTACAAGAAGAAGTTGATTAGGTAGTATCTAATTAGTATCTTATCTAGTTTTTCACTTAAACTGATTGAGAGAGGAGCAGTCTTTGACATGATAGGGAAGGTCGTTCCACATTTTGGGACCCTTGATTTGCAGAGCATTTCTAGTGTGGTTGCCCACTCTTGGACCAAGGTATGAGGGGGACAATAACAAATGAATACAAAGGAGACACTTAAGGATGACAGGCATAGACTATTACAATATGAAGTCCGTAGTTGTAGCAATAGTACAGTAGTTTATTTACATTTACGTTATGTATTTTGTATTACGTAGTAATTGTTATTATTAAATGTAACAGTTTCACATTAAAATTAACACAAAATAACCTATTCAATTGAACTTTCTTGAAAATTTATAGTCTAATATAGTAACACCATTCGTACACGCCAGCTTCGTTCTTAATTCATACTCGGGGCTCCCGGGTTCGATTCCCAGGCGGTACAAAAATAGTTGTACACGTTTCCTTTCTCCTAATGCCTCTACTTACCTAACAGTAAATATGTACCAGGGAGTTAGACAACTGTTATGTGCATCCTGGGAATGGTAAGTTTAGTTCGACCTTGTGGAGACCTCGACATATTTACCTGAGAGCCACTACCACTAGTGGCCTCAACGAGGACAGGAAGCCGGCAGCTTGTCGAAGGACCCCCCCACCCAATTGCCTTGATAATCTTTTTCCAGTTCGATTTTTAAATTAAAAAAATCTTGGCATCTACGACTTCGGCGGGTAGGCGGTTCCGTGGGTTTATAACCCAGGGGGGTGAAAAAGCATCTCCTGTTCTCAGTCCCGCATTGTGGCTTGTCGGGCTTGAATCTGTTGCTCCTTGACTGTGTCACATTCGACCTTTTGAAGACATTTTTCGGATCAACATCCACCAAATTGTTGAGTATTTTGAAAGTTTAAATGAGATCTGCCCCCTGTCATGCCTGGTTTGCAGCGTTGTTAGCCTCGTGGCCCTCAACCGTTCCTGATACGTGAGATGATTTAGCTCTGGAAAGATTTTTGTTGCTCGGTGTTGCACTTTCTCCAGAGCAGCGGAAGACGAGGTCTTCATGCTTGGATACAGTAATACAAAAGGGGCCGCACCAGAGATTTATACAATCGAATCACCACCTTCCTTCCTTTAAGTCAAAGGCACGTTTGATTACTCCAAGTGTTTTCACAGAGGTCACGACCTCTCCGTAGGGTGCAGTCGCACCTCCACAGATCTCCAGTATCAGCTAATGATACTGGTAATGGCTCCAAAGGGCCACCACTTACGGGCTATTCATGCCCGTGCCACCTTTTGGGTGGCTTAATCTTCATCAATCAATCCAAGTGTTTGATGGGCTTTTTTCGAGAGCAGCCCCTACCTGCTGTGCAACCTTTCAATGAGTGGTGGATTTTGACTCCAAGGTAATTTTCTTCATCAAATCTGCTGTAATGGAATGTTAAAGCCTAATACGTTTATTTATAAATACACAGGTTTCCTGTCCTCGCCAAAACGATTAATAATAATAATAATACACACTATAATGAATTATTCACACTAGGAAATCGTGACTAGGGAGATCCAGAACGCTCATTACAATTCCCAAGAGTGTTCCAATGATTTTTGAACAACAATACTATTTTATTTGCAACTTATACAAAGGAACATATTAGAGTGGTTATTTAGTAGGTTCACTAACTGCATATTATATATATATATATATATATATATATATATATATATATATATATATATATATATATATATATATATATAAAAAGGGAAGGGAGTACCACCTCTAGCTGGAAGAAGGGGGACCCATAGCCTCGGAGGAAACCACGCATAACGCATTAGAGGGAATGTTTATATATATATATATATATATATATATATATATATATATATATATATATATATATATATATATATATATATATATATATATATATATATATATATATGAGAAAAATTATCTCAAATTTGTCGCAACTGTTTACATAAATCAAGAGTGTTGGCTTTGGCCGATCTTTTCCGAGGTAGCCTCGTGAAAGGAGGCTTTCATTCGGTATCCCTCCCACATCCAGCACACTAATAAAATAATTTTTAACTTTACCTAGGAGCAGAGAAGCAAAGGGATAAAAAAAACCCCGAAGAGACGCCATTTTTAATTTATAATGGTTCGCTTTTTTGTGTGTGGACTAAGTACATAAATATAATATGACAGAGCGTGTGTGTGTGTGTGTGTGTGTGTGTGTGTGTGTGTGTGTGTGTGTGTGTGTGTGTGTGTGTGTGTGTGTGTGTGCTGCAGCTTTATCAATGCAAAGGACTAATTAGACGCCAGTGAAGCAGAGAGCCCCCAAGGGCATGGGAACAACGCAGTTCAAGGGGCAACTGAGTTACAACTAGAATACCAGCTCTTCTGACCTAGGAGAATAGCTCTGTCTTCCCGTGTCAGAAAACAGCCGGCAAGACTTCAGTGTTTTAATTCGGTATATATATACCATCCATCGCCCCTCTCCCACCCCCCCTTCCCCCCCCCATTCCTACCCTTACAACCCATACCCATCGAATCCTGTGCCCTCAGGGAGGGAGAAGGAGACTTTAGTGTGGGCGGCGAAGTAGCAGGGGGCGCCAGGAGCTTGTTGTGGGTGGCGCAGTGGGCGGCGAAGTAGCAGGGGGCGCCAGGAGCTTGTTGTGGGTGGCGCAGTGGGCGGCGAAGTAGCAGGGGGCGCCAGGAGCTTGTTGTGGGTGGCGCAGTGGGCGGCGAAGTAGCAGGGGGCGCCAGGAGCTTGTTGTGGGTGGCGCAGTGGGCGGCGAAGTAGCAGGGGGCGCCAGGAGCTTGTTGTGGGTGGCGCAGTGGGCGGCGAAGTAGCAGGGGGCGCCAGGAGCTTGTTGTGGGTGGCGCAGTGGGCGGCGAAGTAGCAGGGGGCGCCAGGAGCTTGTTGTGGGTGGCGCAGTGGGCGTGAAAAGCGGACACCCACACCGGAAAACAAGTGATAAGAAAAAAACGGCAACTGTTAGCGGACCGAGAAGCTTGATTTACTGACTTGGAATGAGGCTGCGAATTGTGCGAGGCTCCGGAGGATATTTGTGAAGGAGCAGGAGAATGAGGAGGAGACGGAGGAGGAGGAAGAGGAGCAGCACAAGGAGGAGCAGGCGCAAGGGGAAGGAGGGAAGGGGAGGGAAAGATGGGCAGGAGTAGGGACATCATGACGAGGAACAGAGGGGGATAGAGCTCGGAAAAGGAGGAAGACGGGGAACGGAAGAAATATAAGGAGCAGGAGCAAAATCTTAAGGAAGATTAGGAAGAGTGGGAGGATGAGCAGGTTTAGGAGTAAAAAGAGGGGGGAGGGGGAAGGGAGTGAAGTAACCCATAGTGTTAAAAAAAGCTCGAAAAATAACTATAATTTAGGACTGACTCTCCTCTCACCTATGCCTTCCCCCCCAGCACCCCCTATCGCACCCCCTCCCCCATCACCCCCTTAACCCCCCCCCCAAACAGCAGAGGAAGCCTGATGCTCCGCCAGCAACAACTCCCGCCATTAAACGGGTAACTTAAAAATTCCCAGCTCGCGATAGACAGCCTCATACCTCCTTTATGATTTCAAGTAGATTGCTTCATTGACTTACTATCTGGGGAGAACAGCATCGTGGTGTATAGGCTTGGCAAGGCTTTAAATGAGTGCTTCTTGTAACATGTCGACAAAGATCTTGAAAGACGATGTTTAAATTTGCACAGTCTTGCTTATTACAAATTATAAATGTCTTTGTGAAGTCAGCTCTGTACACACACACACACACACACACACACACACACACACACACACACACACACACACACACACACACACACACACACACACACACACACACACACACACACGGAGGCAGAGAGACTGACAAGTTAAACACACAACAGTACTTGTCGAATCTTCTCAAAATATGAACTAAAAACACAAACACAAATCTCCTCGTTGTTTTTTTCCCTGGAAGCAAAACGTTCCTTATGCAAATGAGTCCCAGAGGAAGAAGAAGAAGCGAGCTCGGCTTCCCGCCGTAATTGTGCAAAGTTTCACTTGAAGGGAATCTGGCGCCAAAAAGCCCCCCCCCCTCTCTCTCCCCCCCCCCACAACTGATTAACAAAATCCAAACCTGATGTCGACACCACACCACTGACAGCCCTGAGGGCGGATGGTCAAAGTCGCTGGCGATTAATTCGTGTTTTTAAGCAGTTTCGTGCCTGCATTGTTTACATCTTAAGGCGACATGTCGTTGTAACCTCAGATGTAACGTTGTTGACATCTGAGGTTAATTAAGCTGGTATAGTCGTCTACACAGTGACTTACCCGTCACAGTAAGCCGTTCCTGTGACGGGTAAGTCCACTACGGGCTCACCATAGCCTGTGCTACTTGTGGTTCTCAG